ATTCACATACATGATGAACAGTCACTTGAAGTCAGAGTATGCTCTTGTGAGAGTGTTCATTAAGACCTGTTTGACAGTATTGAAGAAAAGTTGAGTCTCTGTAAGTAGGGCTTGAAATTGTGAAAATGCTTCAAACTCAATCAATTTGATTCTCACTGCATATGATGCTCTTTTCTGACCTGTTCAGAGGCTGTTGTGCAGTATTCTGATTTTGAGTGTTTTCAGTGCTTCTATCTTATCTGTGTAGAAGTTCACAAAGTCATAATAGTAGTTGAAGAGGCTGACAACTCTCTTCAGCTCTCTGAGAGTTATAGAGAAGGTCAGGTTTATGATAGCAGCTATCTTCTTCTTCTGAGTGAATATTTCCAGTCAGTCAATGTGATGACTCAGTAAACACACAGAGAGGTAGATGAAATGACATTTAAATAAGAACATTATCACTTCAGATGTCTTAAGAGCAGTGAATACTGCCTGCATGTGATGAAGATGATCATTTAGTGAATGTGAGAAGATGATGATATCATCAACATAGATCAAGATGAATTGTTACAAGAATTGTGCCAGTATCTCTTTCATATATTGCTGAAAGAATTCAGATGAGGTTGTCAATCTCATTATAGCAACTGTAAAGTGTTCAAGCTCTCAGTGCAGTGTGATAAAGATGATTTTGAAGTGATTGAAATCTTCTATGAGCTGTTGAAAGAAGCCTTGATGAATATTCATTGATAAGAACACTATGAAACTGCTCAATAACTGCAGAACATTCTGCTGTGTCAGTAAAGAATATGTATTTAAAAGCAATTGTAGATTGATCTTCTGCAAGTTCACAATCACACACAGTTTCTCTTTATGTCAGACTACAAACACAGGGAAAGTGATAGAGTTCTTAGTCTCAAGAGAAACTCTCTCAATTCTTTCATTTCAAACAAGTGAGTTCAAGATTTGATCAGCTGCTTTCTGATCCCTCTGTGAGAGAGAGTATAGTTACTGCTTCAGTCTGGAAAAATTATCTTCATTAATGAATTATAACAGCATCTTCACATTGTCTGAAAATAATTTCAGATTAAGATCAAAAAGTTTGTGATATCAGTCAATGATCTTCTGAATTATCTCATGATTATCTGCTGCTCAGTGATCTGATATCTATACTTTGACTCACTCAGTGAGAGTGTTCACTGTGAGAATCTGAAGAGAATTGTCATGATCTTCTGTGTCTGTCAATAGAAATAATTCTGCATGTGAGATAGAAAACAGAGATGACTTCTCAATTGAATTATTATTAACAATATTGACATTCATGATGCAGATGACAATTCTTTTTTACTTTTATAATGAAGAAGAGTTTCTACCTGCACAGATAATGTCTCTGATAACCTTGACATTTATAGCATATTTCTCATGAAATACAATACACTTATTATGAACATCAATGATGACTCTCACTGATAATAATATATTATTTACTATAATTATATTGCATCTGAGATATTGCACCAGGTGGAATTCACTCTTCAGATGAAAAAGAGCCTCATTATTCATCTTTAGAGTGAGAGCTGTTGATATGAATAGATTCAATTCATTTGTATCTGAATCAACTTCTCAAATGCACATATATCAGTCATGTGACAGAGCAGCTGACTGACATTGAGAGAAGAATAAGCTTGCTATCACTGCATCAACAAGTGATATACCCGCATCTGTATTAATGCAAACTGAGAGATCATCTCAGAGAGTATCAATGAGAATGATAAGAAAGATGTAGAGTAAGTACTGCAGTTCACTAATATATTCTCAATCACTTGTGAAGATGTCATATGCTGTGATAGTGTATATATCAGTGTTAAACATACTCAGATAATTGTCTGAGAGAGTATCTGTGAATGAAACAGGCCTTTCAGCATCTGACTTGTTATCTATTTTTCTAACTCACTGTCAGAATCTAGACTGAGATCTAGTTATAATAGATTATCATTCTCTTCTCTGTCACTCTTTCATTCAACTTGATTCACTAGGTTCTCTTTTCTGAGGCAGTGATTGGTGTAATAAGAGCTCTCGCATACATAGCACTCTGCTGTGAGTGCTGGTAATTTGCTCTCTGCACATCTAATCAGCAGTCTGCTCACTGCGGGGGTGCTCACAGAGAGAGTCACTGTGAGGTCTGTAGCAGGCACAGGTAGCTTGATAGTTTTCATATATAATCTGGTCAAGAGAGTCTGATAAGAGCAGTGATCATTATTTTAGTCAATTCATCTGAAGTCTTGTATATATTCAGTGAATTGAGTTCTTCAATCAGTTCAAGTGTGTCAGACAGCTGACTCATTGTCTCTAATTCTTCTTTGAAAGTTATTCAGACACTTGATGAGAATAAGAGATATAATCAGAGATAGATTTAACTTCAACTCTTTTCATAGAAGTCTCTTCATCATTGCAGAGTCAGAGATTGAGACAGCTCACAGCAAGTTAATCTTCTGTGAGATATACAGTGTCAATGACAGCTTATTCAACTTCTCAAAGAAGAAACACAGTTCTTGAGCTTTTACTCAGACTTCTTTCTCTGATAGCTGAAATTCTCATCTCAGCTCACTGATTGTGATGAGAAGAGAAGTACTTATATTCTTTCTCATTTCTGTAGACAGACTGTTATATCATTCTAACACCTATCTCTTTAAGTATAATGAAAAGACTCAGAGTACTGCATTCTCTCTCTTCTATATAATAATAAACTCTAGACAACTGATGAACATCATTACATCTGCTTTCACTGAATTGAACAGCATAATATCACTCACTCTCAGTCACATCAGATATTTTTATTCATCATCTTCAGTGTAGCAGACTACATCACTGATTCATCATGAGAATGAATGAAATCTATTATCTAGTGAGAAGTTATTATAATTATGAGTGAGATAGATCTCTCTCTTTAAAAGTACTGTGAGCACTTGCTCTCTGCAGACTCAATTCTCTTCTGTGTCATAGATAAAGTGTGAAATATCTGTCTTTTATGCAAAATTGAATCTATCTCTTATTATATTTAAGCAGTGAGTTCTGTCTCTGAACACATCTCACTCAGCATCACACAGCCCTCTTGAGATTGCAGATGTTTGCAGAACTCTAAAGAGTGATTCAAAGCCTTCATTAAATAAGACATTCAGTCACTGAGAGAATTCAGTGAGAGAATTATCATCTTCAACTTAAGTCAGTTATTTCTACTGCTGTTGATTTTCATACTGCTACTCTTATCTCTGAGTGATGAGTGCTGCTTTCTCTATGTGAAAGTTGCTTTATATCTCTATCAGTCAGCTTCTTCTATCTGTCAAACACTGAAGATTGTTCTGAAGCTTATTGACATGCTTATCAATAAGAGTGATACACTTATTCAGCTGATTCTGCTGCTGATTGAGCTGGTACTTATACTCATCTAGCTCACTTTCTTACTGAGTCAGCTGAGACTTCAGTTACTTCAACTTCTCAATTGTATTTAATACAGTGACTTTGTCAGAAGAGGCATGACTCTGATTATTAAACTTAATATAGCTTGAAGCTATTGACTTTCTTTCTTTCATATACTTTGTAGCCTCTGTACAGAAAGTCTGTAGCTAAGAATCAATAACATTCTTTCATTTTACAACAGAAACTGAGTCAAGAGTTGTCTTAACATTGTTATAACATCTGACAGACACTTTCATAAGAATGCTCTCTGCCTTAACACAGTCATATGATGTGACTTAGTTCTTAACACTATTATATTGTTCATTTGTGTTCTGTCAGATCTCTGTGATCATGACAGTATGTTTCTTCACTGCTGTCTGTGAGTAGGTGTGCTCAGTGTCAGATCTCTGAGTGAGTTCATGAGAAGCTCACTTCTCAGTGAACTTGTTCAGCCTGATGAAGTGAAGTGACTGATGAGAGTCACTTCTAGTGAGACACCTGTTCTGCTCCATTGTGATGTGTAACAGATATGTATAGAGTGAGTCTATCACAACTGAACTGATTATCAGCTGCAGTGATGAAAAAAGATAGAGTAGTTAATCAGATTAATTATCAGTTGACTGAACTTCATTATCTACAACTCAGATCAATCATCAGTATTACATCTTCTCAAAGACAGAAAGAATGTAGAGAAATCAATCAGATTAATCATCAGTTAGCTGAACTTTGTCATCTGCAACTCAGATCAATCATCAGTGTTATATCTTTTAAAGATAGAGCAGAATCTAAGAGAATCAAGAATCTTGTTCTTAATAAGACATGCTATTAAATTGCAGTATACATTATCTGTAGTATATGCTGATTATGTATCATACATATAAAAAGATAAATCTTATCTTATTCTTCAAGATAAAGATGGGCGGATGCCTCTATATATATATATATACATGCTTGTTTGTTTATTGTGATTGACTTTTACAGAAGAAAGAAGTGAAAGTCTCAGAAAGAAAGAGATAAAAGTCTCAGAAAGAAAGAGATAAAAGCTATACAGAAGAAAGAGACAGAAGTCTCAGAAAGAAGTAGAAGTCTCAGAAAGAAAGAGATAAAAGTCTTAGAAAGAGATGAAAGTCTCAGAAAGAAAGAGATAGAAGTCTCAGAAAGTAACAAGAGTGAACATTATAATTTCAGTATTAAATTGATTTTGAATTGATTTTAAATTAATTCTGAATTAATTATTAATTAATTATAGTAATAAAATAAATTCAATCTGTATATTTAAGTAATTAACAATTGATTGAAAATCAATTAATAATCAATTCAGTGTAAATTATATAAATACTTACTTTATTATTAAATTCAAGAATAATTTTAGTATTAAATTGATTTTAAATTAATTTTAAATTGATTTTGAATTGATTGTAGAATTGATGATAAATAATTAAGTAGTTTCAAATTATAAGAAAAGATGTATTAAGTGAGGTCAGATAGTGGCACGGGCCACATTTGTGAGGTCAGCTTACATAATGAGGTCAAGTGGCGCACTTAGCGAGGTCAAGTTTTCTGTATACACAGAAAAAACCTTATCGGAGTTTCATGCTTCATTTCTCAGCAAGTGGTGTTCAATATGTATTTTTGAAATTTCTCCAACGGTAGAATACCCCACTCTATAGGATGCCATCAACTGCAATCGACACACCTAAACCTTCAAGCATGGGTGCGAGCAGCAGTCCCATCCCACCTTTGAGGAAGACGCTCACCTCCGAAAATGAACCTTTGGCAAGACGATTCCGCGCTTTATTCTCCCTAAAGCATGTCGCTTGTCTCCAGCCTCCTACAGAACAGAGCCTACATGCGATCCAAGCGATCGCCGCAGCATTCTCATCACCATCAGCCCTTTTAAAGCATGAGCTTGCTTACTGTCTGGGACAAACTAAAAACTTAGCTGCAGTTCCGTATCTCCGGGAGGTGTTGGAGAATCGAGCAGAGGATCCCATGTGTCGGCATGAAGCAGCGGAAGCCCTGGCAGCGCTGTGCGATTCAGACAGTCTGGATATCCTACGGAGTTTCAGAGATGATGAAAACGAGCCTGATGTCGTAAGGGAAACCTGTGACATTGCCGTGGAGAGGATTGAATGGGAAACGTCTGATCGACGCAAGACTGAGAATCTAAAACAAAGGTAACAGTATATTCAAAGTCGCATTTTTTGGCTAATAATATATTCCTTCGGCTAACGTATTTTGTGCTGTCAAATAAAGTGATTTCGCCTCAATTGACCCTGCCCCTCCACTACCAATGCCCGCCGATGAACCTTCCATTCCCGATTTAGAAAAAACCCTTCTCGATCCAAAACTCCCTCTCTTCCAAAGATACCGAGCAATGTTCGCCCTTCGAGATCTGGCCTCACCGCCTGACCTTCCGACCGCTGTCCCCGCTGTACATGCTCTAGCAGAAGGTTTTAAAGACTCTTCGGCACTATTCCGGCATGAGATAGCATTCGTCTTTGGCCAATTGGCTCATCCTGCTAGCATCCCTAGTCTCACCGCCACGCTCCACGACATGAAGGAAGCTAGTATGGTGCGTCATGAGGCTGCCGAGGCACTGGGAAGTCTTGGAGATGAGGAAGGAGTGGAGGAGACCCTAAAGAAGTTCTTGGATGACCCTGAACAAGTGGTGAGAGATAGTGTTATCGTTGCACTTGATATGGCAGAATTCGAGAAGAACGGAGAAAAGGAATATGCGCTAATTCCTGAAGCTGTCGCTACGGCGTAACACTCGATTGGGTTCTCGGGTTGTGGAGGAGATCGAGTAGACAAGGTTTATGTGGCCAACCCTGAAATTATTTTGCTTGTTATATTGTTTTTGGGTTTGTTCATGAATGAACTACTGGCGTCCGTGGTTCAGTTGTTTGTGTGGAATCTGCAAAAATAGATCAGAGAGTCATTATGTGTCCAGTGTATGATTTTAGACAATTTGGGTAACACGTACTTGTGTCCACATCCTTCACAGGAGTAGAAAACGGTGCTTCCTTCGTCTGCACTACGTAATTGCAATGTATGGTATCTCATCTCGGGTCTATCACATTCCGGGCAGCTCTCCTGGGCAATCGCATCTCCCCGTTTGTCCGCGGCCGTCAGAGTTTGCACTGCGGACCTTTTCGTTCGGAGTGCGGAAGGGAAAGCATCGGGTTTCGATTCCGACGTGATGGTTTTGGATGCAGTGTCTGAAAGGGGGTTAATTAAGAGAATATTTAGTGAAAGGGTAATCGACAAGCTCGCTCATAATGCAAGTTGTTTGTTACCTCTGTTTTTGGTTCCACAAAGCTCACAGATCAGAATTGCATTCTTATCGCCCGTGGACTCGCGCAGCAGATTCCCACAGTCTGTGCAGAAGATTAGGGACCCTATCGAGGCCATTGTGTGTGGATGTATCAGGATTACTGTATTGGAGTTAATATTATTGTTGACGATTTATGGTCCACCACTTCAATGCTAAATATTTTTTATTCATAGCCAAGCCAGAAACTTTCGAATATTTCACTCAATATTTTTGGGGTCATGTGATAATTTATTACATAATCGTTTCTGTCCAATCAGATCAAACAAATCACTCAACGCCCAACTTCCCTCCCAACGCCACCTTATCGCACCCTTGGTGCTAAGGGCCGAAGGCTCGGAAGGCATCATCTAGCTAGCCCCTTCTCCTTATTTCCATTTCACAACGTCATTTTTAAGGAATATTTAAATCCATACCCGCATTTCATAGTTTTGAAACTGACACCCGGTGTTATATGAAATTGAATGAAATGATCCAAAGAGTTCATAGAACAGAATAACCCCAGCTTCTTTTTACAGGTTCTCAGTTGGTATGATAACCTTGCTTACAACACACTGGCAGAGAATCCATGATATGGATTCAGAAACAGATTCAACTCTCTTAAATAAAACACATTCAGTACAACTCAGATCTTGCAAGGAGTGATTGATAATTAGACCATCACTAAAATTGATGAATAGTGCATACAGGGTATTTATCTCACTCTAATAATTTGTTTCCATCTGCCTGAAGGCCTTCATTATATGGTCATACCTGGTACGTACTAAAGCCCTCTGTGTTATGGGATGATGTTTGAGAGCAATTACAAGGGCGTGAAGACCTCTGTGACTTAGGCTGTGTCAAGACTCAGAGACCTTGTAGTGTGGTAGGCATCTGAGAAGTCATTTGGAGATTTTTGAATTAGAAATTGAAATTGTGATGGGTGGTATCAATCTAGAGCTAATTTATACTAAATATTCTAATGTGCTGTAAGTCAGTGAAGTGTATGTACATGTACATGTACAGTACATATTCAGTCAAGAAAGATCTAATCACAAGCCAGATCTACCTTTAGAGAGAGAATGAAGATATTATCACTACTAAGATTCTTGTATAGTACATCAAGTTTTTCATATAGCATGCTTAATCTATTCTAGCAGTCATATAAGCAGTGTCATTGTCACACTCACCTGTACACTCCTTGAAATATCTGTCCTAATTTTCTTGTCAAATTGGTTCTTTCTTCACCTGATCAAGATATATATGTATATATATTCACTCCTGTGGCATCATAGCATGCCTGTCCAATTGATAAGTTATCTGTTGGCGTGGCCGCGTGAGTGGGAAATCAAACACAAAATGACAAGGCTGGTGACATAAGTAATAACAAAGCCTATCTACATGTATATTTCCATCATATCCTTTTGAACAGCTGGAATATTCTCAAATGAGAGTGAGGGTAGTGTAAGCAAGCTGCAAGCCCGCTAAATTGAAGTGAGGTTAAGCGCTAACCGAAGTGGAGCCGAGCGCGGCAAAATTGCGGTTTAAGTTAAGCGGCGGGTGCCTTGCATGGTATGGGTGGAATGACCCTGAACACCACGAAGCCTGACTGGTCATGACTTCAACCCCTCCGCCCTGAGAATAATGTGCACAGGGGGATTGTGCAGATTAACTCTATAACGCGCGTCTACCAGGCGTACCTCTTGGTAGAAATTCCGCCATGCAACAAGCTCGTCACCCGGGAATCCAGGTGGTCATTTCCGACCATGGCGCCTCGAACTCCAACAGTACTGGCGAGCGGCTGGCCAAAGCATTGTCGGTTGATGAGGCACTGCAGTTCTCTCCTATGACAAGTGTTCCTGTTTTTGGCCTAGGTAAGCTCACATCGTCGTTTATTAAGTTTAACAGGACTTTCCACTGACCATATTACTTTTATCAGACTCCATTCTCCGCCCTGACGTCGGCCAACCTTCCCTCTCAAATCTATCTAGCACCCATGACCGCAAAGCTGCTGGTGAAATTATTGACGACCTGGATGACGAGACCCAAGCAAGTGCTAGCGAATCCACTCGTCTCGAGACTACCCGCCAGTATTTGCAGGCGTTATTGAATGGACAATTGACAGAATAGTATGACAATAGTTCTCCCATCTTTACCTTATGCGCTCCATTAACACTAAATCCCAGTGAGTTCAAATTACCATCACGATCTCGAGTGACTCGCAACTCGGTAAATGCTCAGATTCTAGATACAGAATCTTTGAGTCGAGGCCATCTCGGGCCCTTCGCAAAGATGGTGTTAGATTGCACGGACGTTCCCTATCGGTGTATGATCATCCTGTTATTGATTTACAAGAGTTTGGTTATTAATAGAATATGAATAGACCCATCGCCTATTACGCCTAGCCCTAAAAAGAAATTGCAGGCACCAGAATCCCTACCGTCGCCTACGTTAAGTGAGAACATTTCTCCTCAAATTATCATGGAATCCAAACACCATAGCGACTCCAAAGCCTCTCTTGGGCGGGAGAAATCCATGCAGAAGCCCGTTGTCCTAGTACCCTCGCTACCTTTGTCATCACAGCCCGGCGAATATGTTCATATCGGCGACCAGTCACCTTCAAAAAGGAGGAAGCTAAACACCGAGGATGACGAGAAACTGGCTGCATTACGCCTAAAAGATCAAAAGGAGGAGGCAGATGCAGCATTGATTAAATTACAAGAGCTCTTTCAGGAGGTCTTTGAAGCAGAGGATCAACTTGAACCAGATACATCCTCAACCGAAGCTCAACCATCCAACAAGTTTTTCACACTCCCGAAAGCAACAGATGATCTTGGCCCTGTTTTATCTTCTGAGACACACTCCATCCTTCAAACAGCAATGCAAAAAGTTACAGGCTATGGACGACTCCGTGATATTCCAACAGAGTATTTGAACCGCGTCCAAAAGCTCTGTGAGCCTCCAGTGATATCTGCTCAGACTCCGGATCTAAAACTGGAACATGTTCCCTCGGATGAGGATACAGAAATCTGGCTTAGAAGGCTTGCTGACATGCGCAACGCATTGCTGGCAATTTGCACCCTGCTTCACACGATGTCAGGGGAGGTGACGACAAAAGATTTGTGCCCAGAAGATGTGATACAGGCTATCCCGGGCGTCCTCAACCATGTTTTCGATGATTGTCTCATCCCTGCTGTTGAATGCCGGCCGAATGGTAGAGATGCGGAACTGTTTACTTTCTTCTCCGCCCATAAAAATGTACTTGCGGGCTTGGTTCACCAAACGAAGAAAGTCCTCAATCTTTTAGCTCGTTTCCTTTCCAACGTCGATGTTGCTGAAGGGACTATCACCGCAACTGAATTCCTTGCCACCAAACTAATTTTTGTCGAAAATGCTCATAGTGACAGGGATTCAGCCTTGGGCTTCCAAAAGTTTGAGGCCGTTAGAAGGGGTTCTATGGATGTCCTAGCAAAAATATTCGCGAAATACCCGGAGCAGCGCTCCTTTATTCTTGATGAAATACTGGTATCATTGGAGAAGCTCCCATCTACAAGACAGAACGCTAGGCAATTCAAACTTATAGACGGGAAGCATATCCAACTACTTTCTGCCCTCGTAATGCAGCTCGTGCAGACAACTGCAATACAAAAATTATCGAAAGGTTCGAGAAAGCCGAAGCGCCGCTTACCTCTTCCGAAACTTGGGCAGGATGAATGCTCTGACAGTGAGGATACGTGCGATGAGTCTGACGATGAAAGACCCAGGAAGGGCACACCACTGGAATTACTTTCAAATAAAGTCGAACCACTCTTTGACAATGCCATTCGCAGTGCACAGTATATTACGAGATTCATCGTTCAGCGGGCCATGACCTCCACCAAAACTGGTGATCAGCCATACCGGAATCTTCTGGACCTTTTTACTGGAGACCTCATCAGCGTCCTTGGCTCGACCGATTGGCCCGCTGCAGAACTTTTGCTGAGAGTTCTTGCCTCGCAAATGATTGGGCTTGCAGACCATGACAAGACCCCTGCCAACGCAAAAAATATGTCACTCGAGCTCTTGGGGTGGATGGGGTGCGCAATTTCCGATCTTACTTCCTCTACACATCATTTAATTCCCAGTATGGATGAGGGTGATTCAAACCTATCCGACTACCTACGACAGCTATTTGATGAGCATCTAAATCGATCATTGCATACAGAAGATGTTGTGTCTGTCGATGGACCATACCGGATAGTTCTTGAGTACCTGGAGGAGAGGGATGTCGGAAACTGGCAGCTTTCTAGCGCTCGAGGTTACTTTCTGGCACACTGGGCAAAAAATGTGTGCAGTTTCTATTACGATCCAGAGAACAGGGGAAATGTATCCGAAGGCGAGTCGGCCGACGATCTGGCGAGGGCCCTACGTAACATGCTGTCTGATCCCAGATGGTTAGAATCTCACAAGTGAGTCTCCTTTAGGGTTAGGATGTATACGTAGGCTAATGTTTGAATATAGTGAATTCGATCGTATAGCTACGCATCATGCTCGCTTCGCCTATCTTTTGACTCTCCTCAATATGGGATTCTGCAAAGCGTTTGATAAAATTTTTAAGGTTCTTTTAAACTCCATTACTAGCGATCAAGCCAAAGTGCGAAGTCGAAGCTTGAAGAGCGTCATTCAAATGTTGGAAAAGGACCCGACCCTGCTAGACCGTGACGACACTGTGATGACGCTGATTTTCCAATGCGCTACTGATTCATCGCCCATGGTTCGAGACTCGGCGCTCTCGCTCATCGCGAAGTGTATAACTCTTAGACCGGTGCTTGAAGAGGACGGTTGCCGCACCATTTTATCCTGTTCTGCAGACCCCACTGTCGGTGTTCGAAAACGTTGCATTGGCTCCTTGAAGGATATTTATCTCCAAACATCCCGTAAAGACCTGAAAATCGCCATTGCTGACAACCTGCTTCAACGAATTACGGACGTTGAAAGTAGTGTTGTTGCACAGGCTCGTCAAATCTTGGAAGAAATATGGCTTGGTCCATTTCACCACCCGATTAACGTGATCCAGGATTCACCACAAACCAAAGTCTCCTTGGGAGAATTGGTTGATCTTATTGTTGGGTCCGTCGAAAAAAGTGATGCAGTTGTTATCACGCTTGAAAAATTTGTCAAATCCGTACTCTCCGACGACACAAGGTCGGCATCCGCAAATTTCAAAGTCTGCAAAGCGATTGTGGCCACAATGTTTGAGCGAATCATAGACCATGCAGATTCACCAAACAAACCGAGCATCCAAGCGCTTCTCCAGTCTATCACGGTGTTTGCCAAAGCGAATGCGAAGCTCTTTACTCCTGACCAATTGGAAACACTGCATCCCTATATTGGCCACCTCTCTACTGCAGATGATCTCCTCCTTTTTCGATCTGTGGTTGTCATATATCGATGTGTTCTACCTTACCTTTCTAACGCCCATAACACCCTCCTCAAGGAAGTGCAAAATGACCTTTTCAAGAGTGTTTCAAAACTAGCGAGGACTGAGCTCAATGAGGTCATGGCATGCCTTTGGACGGTTGACAGAGTTCTACAAAATACAGAACGGCTTGTGAAGCTTACCATATCTGTTCTCAAAGGTATTGCTCAGGTGAAAACTCTAAAATTTGACAACTCGTCCAAAGCAGATGCTCTAGGGAGGGTGAGAAGCTACATTCGAATCGCTGGTTGTGTTGGAAAACATTGTGATCTGGAAAAATATTTAAATTTTTTCAAGCAGTCGTTTCCAACGACCAAGGCCACGTCTGTTGCTGGCTTAATGGTCGACTTCATAGCCCCGTTTGCTCTTCCTCAGTATCCGCTTGAACTACGAATAATGGCATTGGAGAGCTTAGGCTCGGTATGTCAAACTTGGCCTGCTCAGTACAGTCAGGAACATGCAAGATTCGCTTTATCTTCGGTGTTCGAAGAAGACAACCCGGATTTGCAAAACATAGTGTTGAAATCATTCTTGGAGTTCTTTTCCGTCCATGAAGGGAAGGCCGAAAAGCTGATACAAACCAGTGACTTAGCAGCTGATGCCGAGAGCTCCACGAGATTAGCCGCCTCCTTGAAAGCTAGCGAGAATGATGGAGCAGCGGCCTTGATTGCCCAGCACTTTCTCCAAAATATGCTCCACGCAGCACTTTCAAAGCAAGACACCTATGCATTGACGGCGATTGAGTTGATCGCAAGTATTAATCGCCAGGGCCTTATCCACCCAAAGGAATGTGCTGGTGTATTGGTCGCACTGGAAACGTCGCCACATCCAACAGTCAGCAAAATAGCTTTTGAAACCCATAAAATGCTGCACGAACAACATGAATCTATGTTTGATCGAGAGTATATGAGGGCAGTTCAAGATGCATTTTATTACCAGCGGGATGTTGTTGGGGATCCGAGCGGAGCTTTCAGTCGTCCATATACTTCGAAACTCGCACCCCTTTTCGATATTATCAAAGTTAGCAATAGCAAATACCAGAGGAAATTCCTAACCAATCTTTGCTCAAAAGTTGACTTTGAGTTTCGCAAACTGGACGTTTCGAAGGATCCACCGGAACACTTGCTCCTATCTAGATTCGTTTCTCAAAACATTGCCTTCTTTGAGTATGCGCAAATTGCGGAAATCCTCCCCACAATTGCTTGCATTGAGCGTATTGTGGCCGCAACAGGCACTATTGTAGCTCATGCAATCGAAACAGATTTGTTTCAAAACACCATGCAGCCAATCAATGGCAATTCAAACACAGCAGAAACACAGGCTACGGATGGGCTGACTATCTCCAGCGAGGCTCCTATCGTCCCTACTACCCCTCAAGAGTTAGCCGTTCGCGGGTCAGTTGATGCTCAATTGTTGAGAAAGCTGGCTACTGCCTCTGGCTCGCTCTTGATGCTCTGGGAAGCTCGATCGCACCTCCGTCGCCTTTATGGCATTAATTTTCACGCACGACAAAAGGAAGGGAAGGGAAATGCCAAGGAACTTAATCGGGCACCGGCAAAAGTCCAGGGCGTCACTGGTGAGCGGTTTTGGGAGTCTGTGTCCAATCTCATGCACTGCCTTGACACCACGGAAGCAATGATGGACACATGTCGGGATTTTGCATTGTTGCTATCGATCGACGATGAACTTAAAATCGCTGGAGACGATGATCGGGGCAGCCATGACACCACCGGAGACGTTGATGATATGAGCCTCCTCCTCGCAGCCGCAGGCAATTCAAAACCGGGCAAACGCAAGAGCTCTGTTCCCGCGGGTGGCACTCCCAAGAAGAAAGCAAGAGGCAGGCCTCCTGGCAAGAAGAGAACCAGCACAGACCTCGAAGATGAGCTGGCAAGCGACTGAAGAGCTCATTGTTTCGGTAGCTGGCGTTTTATTTTAGACGCTGTTGGGGCGTTGAAACGCGGGAACTCGATGACCTATGTTTACATTCATATATTATTAGTATTATTATTCAAAAGATATTTTCTCAAGGCTGGTGGGAAGGGCGGCTCGATGCTTAATTGCTTCGTCTTATACGGCGTTTCGGCAATTTACAAGGGGCTTGTATTATTATTATTATTATTATTCTCTTTTTTAACACATTAGTTTTTAGCGACTGCGCTGGGGCTTCGCATATTTTGTTATCATGCATGGACATATAGGTTAACATATCATAGATGAGATAATCAAAATATGAGAGATCTCTAAGTCATTAACTTGAATCTGTTTATGGGAATCGATGTCCTTTCTCCTGTCCCATACAACAGAACAAGCCGCCATGGCTGGCGGTGACGTCACGTGCCCTGCCGGCTGCCGCAACCCCCCAAAGGATAGAGATACATACATTGCTACTCTGGATATCCATCTGCTTTTTATCCCCGTACACCACCCACCCATATTTCGATGGATTGTTCATGTATTATATGAATACACCACCTAGCTGGTTTCTGCCCCCATGCTCTCTCTCCAGGCACGAACGCGATTACTGCGCCCGCTGACCCACGGTAGTTCCAAAGCATGTTTACAACATCGCAGATTTCCGGCGCGACCACTGGGCACTACAACGTCTATATCTCAACGATGCTTCCACACTCCGCGCCGGCCCTCCCTCCCTCCACTGTCAACGAAGGTTCAACTTAACTTCTGCCCTCAACCGCAAAGGTCAATTCGCCTGGGCCGCACCCAACCTCCCTTGAAACAGAGAAGCACGACAGTGAGGATTATATACAATCTGTTCGCATATTGTGGCATTTTTGTCGTTATTGGGGGCGTTCTTCTTGTTGGGTTTTTCGTCTACGACGCTACTACCTACCGTCATGATTTGACCTTCCAGGATGTGCCCGTATCGGAATTGGCGTTGATTCCTCGTCGGGGTGGACCGAAGAACCTCCCAATCGCCGACGTACTGATTGATGACCATGATTCAGAATCCATGAGGGAACAATGGGATAAGCCGAAACTAGTCATACTAGGAACGGGTTGGGGAAGTGTGTCATTGCTAAAGACTCTACGACCGGGTGATTATCATGTCACGGTGGTGTCACCTGAAAGTTATTTTCTTTTCACTCCTATGCTGCCATCTGCGACTGTTGGGACACTTGGCCTGAGGTCTTTGGTCGAACCGGTCAGAACCATTGTGCAACGAGTTCGAGGCCATTTTCTCCGCGCACAGGCAGTGGATGTTGATTTCTCAGAAAAACTTGTGGAAGTATCGCAGCTAGACAGCAATGGGCAGGAACGGCGTTTTTATTTGCCTTATGATAAATTGGTAATTGGTGTTGGTAGGTTAACTTCTGCAATGACCCGGTTCGTCGTACCCCTTATCTTAGATCGTTATTGACGGAGTACCGTACCAAGGCTCGACGACAAATCCACATGGAGTAAAGGGCCTTGAACACTGCAATTTCCTGAAATCCATTGATGATGCGAGGAAGATCAAAAACAAGGTCCTAGACAATTTAGAACTTGCCTGTCTCCCTACAACGAGTGATGAGGAGCGGAGAAGGCTGCTCTCATTCGTGATCTGTGGCGGAGGGCCGACAGGAGTGGAATTTGCCGCCGAGATTTTTGATATGCTCAATGAAGATTTACTCCGTTCCTTTCCCCGGATACTGAGGAACGAAATCTCCGTGCATCTTATTCAAAGGTATTTTCGCTATCTGCTAAACCAGCATGATTATGATTGTTGACGCATTTTATCAGCCGTTCTCATATTCTCAATACGTATGATCAAACTCTATCTGAGTATGCAGAGGTATGTCTGGCTGCTCGGGAATACTTAGTTTTATTGTGTGCTGACTTTGGTAGCGACGGTTTGCAAACGATCAAGTCGATGTCCTTACAAACTCTCGGGTCAAGGAAGTGAAAAAAGACAAGATCCTCTTCACACAGATGGAAGATGGAAAGCCGATCCTAAAAGAGATTCCCATGGGTTTCTGTTTGTGGTCAACAGGAGTTTGTCAGTAGAATGCCCCCCCTAGATACCCCCAGCATTTTTTCCTCTCTAACATCCAAATAATACTGCAGCCCAAAACGCATTCTGCAAACGACTCGCCCAGAAACTCGGTGCGCAGACTAACAAACTTACTCTTCTAACGGATTCTCATCTTCGTGTGAACGGAACTCCAATGGGCGACGTATATGCCATCGGAGACTGCTCTAGCGTCCAAAACAACGTGGCAGACCATATCGTAACCTTCCTTCGCACCATTGCCTGGGAAAAGGGCAAAGATCCAGAAAGGGTTCACCTCACCTTTGCAGAATGGCGGAACGTAGCCCAGCGTGTGAAGAGGCGGTTCCCACAGGCATCCGGCCATTTACGCCGCCTGGATAGGCTCTTCGAACAATACGACACAGACCGCAGCGGTACCCTCGATTTCGACGAGCTGCGAGAACTGCTCCTCCAAATCGACTCCAAGCTGACATCGTTACCTGCAACGGCGCAAAGAGCGAATCAGCAGGGAAAGTATCTGGGACTCAAGTTCAATAAGATTTCGCAGGCCATGCCTGGCATGAAGGCGAATGAGGTAGACTATGGCGACTTGGACGAAGCGGTCTACAAAGCGTTCCGGTACAAACATCTTGGTAGTCTGGCATATATTGGCAATGCCGCTATTTTCGACTTCAATGGTATGAGCTGGGGAGGTGGGTTGCTGGCGGTGTATCTTTGGCGAAGTATATATTTTGCGCAGAGCGTCAGTTTGCGAACTAGAATTTTGCTGGCGATGGATTGGACGAAGAGAGCCATGTTTGGAAGAGGTATGTTAAAACAGCATTCACCCTATATTTTAAGGGGCCGGTTCTCCGTCCTTGCCGTGTTTAGAATATGCCGTCTGTTGAATTTGGAAATGGCCTACCACTGCCAAGAAAAAAAAGACCTTGTGGAACTTCACCTAGCTAACTCACACATCGATTCAGATATGACGAGCTTCTAACAAAAGCATGATATATACCCCGTTAGAGCGAATATTTTTCGTATCTTTCCTCCAAGCGAAGATAAAAAGACCCGGCCGTTAGAGGTCCATTTCCATAGACGCAAAACGATACCCTGCCCATTTACATACCAAATTATTCACCATCTCTTTCAGCTAGATGGTTTCCAAGTTGGAGGCCGGGCAGAGGGCAACCCATTTGCCGCATCTTTACACAAAACAACTATTTTCCTCTAAATTTCAACGGCGGTCGACAGGACTCCGATCACCGACGAAATACTTCTTTTTGGGAAACACTCGTCTCCTTTTTCTTTTTCTTTTTCTTTTTCTTTTTCTTTTTTTTCAAATACATACTCATCACCTCAGCTCACTCTTTCTTCGGCGGTTTCATTTGTTTGCTTTCGGGATGGTGTTTTTATGGATTCAGGCTTTTGTATTGGATGGGTGGCTCCTCCTTGCTCAAGGTGGTTATTATCACCTAGATTTGATATACAATTTCAAGATTCCAAGGTTGCAAAGGACAAGTGCAGGTTAATTGACCTTGTATAAATATCGATATAGAAAACGGAGGGTTTCATATAGGCGGTCTATATAGGGTGGGTGGCTTTAGTGTAGGGAGTAAATATAGTTAAAGGAAGTTGTAACTTTACACTGAATGGGACGCATTCGCTGTTGCACAAATATGAAAAATGGTGAAATAGGAAGTGCACATGTCTCATTAAAAAGTCAAGTACGAAAGCAAAGAAAAATAAAAGTGAAAACACAATTGCTCCGCCATCACCTTCCCAACAGGTTTCGTTCATTTCATACAGAGACTGGATGAACTCTAGATAATTCGAACACGGATGTAATTCGAATTCGGGAAGGCTTCATAGGCCAAATCGCCGGCCCTTGGAACGAATGGTAACCGGCACCATGTATGAAGGGACTCCAAACGCCACGCTAAAGTATAGAAGTCGAAAGAAAAATAAGAAGATATATAGGACGCATCGTAGCGGATAACAACCAAGCAGGTGTCCTTGTTCCACTTATTTGGTTGTTCGGGAATAGATGCTGCTGCGAGTTAGTATTAACGCATCGACCGCATATGCTATGATATCATTGGATCCACCTCTCCCTGCTCATGCATGATGGCATCATCAGTGCTACCGTTTTGGTTTTCGCTTTGGCTACTGTCATTACTGTCGTTCCTGTCTTGCTCGAGGCCAATGTCGATTTTTTCAGGTAAGTCTTTCTTTGCCTCACGTGCCTTTTGCTCAGCCCAGGATCGAAGCTTGACAAGGTTACGTAGGCGCGCCTCACGCCTCGCGCCTTGGCTGTGTAGAATGGCTTCATTTACATGGTTTGCGATGTTTTTCCGGAGTTCTGGATCCAGCAGCGCAGCTAACGAAGGGGCAAGATTATCAGATGGAAATATCAGGAGAGACAGCGTCCTTTCAAGATCCTCAAGGAACTGTGGGTTAGTGGGTGCGCGAGGGGCGAGGTGGGACGTAGCAAAGTCCAGAGCAGGAGTAATATCTCCATTTGGGGTGGATGTACTGGTCCGTATCAATTCAACGAGCTGTAATCGTAGAAGGGAAAAGTGAAGAGAAGGATCACTATCCAGAATCTGCAAATGGGCTGTTAGCAAGAAACTTGAAAATCTATGACAATGAAAGGGTTTTATACAACATTAAGTGATTGCTGGTCATACTGAGGACTGAAGATGAGTTTTTATCATCAACACCGAGGAGGTAATATGAGTGGTGCATGAAACAAATTTAATCATAGCAAGGAAATATATATGTTCAAATATACAAGGACAGAATAGCGACAAAGAAGGAAAAGTGTAAGTAGTACCTGCGGGTTCAACTCGTTTAATTTCTCGATAGCGGACTGAATATCTCCCGAGTGAATAGCATTTCGAATATCCACCCGTTCTTGGATTGACTCCACGTCAGGCTTTGGTTGGATATTAGCCTCTATAGCAAACTTTTGTGCCGCGGATGGGTAGCCATTTGCGACCAGATAATCCATCACAAGGAAATTGATATCACTTTACAATGCACCAGTTAGCCAATATCCACGGTATTTGGAACAGGTTGCATAGGGCAATACGAAAGGTATTATTTGCAGATCAGAAGGACAAGTTAACATATTCTCTTCAAGTGTTTTCAGAGAGATTCCCAACTTGATTGTGTAAACACATCATAATAGCAAAGCAACACGGGCAAAAACATAGGAATATGGACTTACGTCTTTGATGGCTTCACGTCCTCGACCTTCTTTTCGAAATGATGCCATGTTGGCGTGGTAGTAGAAGGGGTTGGAGACATCTGGAACGTTCAGTATTCCCACGGTGCTGTAAGAAAGCCGACGGGGATGCCACATACTAAGTTGGCAGACGTCATGATTATGGCTATTTTTGGTATTCCCAGCTTACAGCAAGCAGAAAGCAGGAAAATGGTAGACTCAAGATGAGAACGAGGAACCCTTCAGCTCGCAAGCCATGGGGCGAGATGACAGGCTGCTGGAGAGTTATGATCTGCTGGGGACAAGCAAGAGAGGAGAAAGAAAGAATGAAGTTGGATGAAGAAAAAAAGATGCAGAAAAGGGTAGTGCGAGGCTCCGCTTCTGACTCAGCACGCGCCTAGCCTATCTTGGCGCTCATGTGATATATCGGCACGTGAGCCCCTGCTCTCCACTTCCCAAGGTTAATAATAACTTTACACGCACAATCTCAGCAACACAACGATGTTAAGATTGCTGGCTTGGTGATGGCCGATAGAGCCTGGACAGGATGAAATAATTTTGCGGACTCCCCATATATACATACTCATTATTGTCTTATTCTTATTCTATGTCATGACACCGGGAAACTAGAGCGTCTTGTTTATCTCACTTTCCATCTCACGGCGTACTTTTCGACTTTTCGACCCATGACCAGGGTCTCGTGGTAGTTTCACAGTCTCACGCCGTTTAGTCGTTTACATACTCGCCATGGTGGAACCCCGAGCCCGATACTCCCCGCCATGGGCGGATATGACTATTATTGGAATTGCTGGCGGCTCAGGCTCGGGCAAATCTTCGGTTGCAATGGAAATCATCAATTTGTTGAACTTGCCGTGGGTGGTGATTCTCGTCATGGTATTTAGTATTGATGGGATACATGATCTCGGGCGGCTGGAAGGACTAATTTGGGATTACTTATAAAAGGACTCGTTTTATAAAACTCTTACCCCCGAGCAAAATGCAATTGCGCATGAAAATGAGTATGATTTCGATTCGCCGGACGCAATCGATTTTGACGTCCTCGTGGATACGCTCCATTCCCTCAAGAAGGGGTAAGATCTGGCAACAGATTCTAGTGAGGCTTATGCCTGTAGATCTTTGCTAATTAGTTCATTGCGGTGTAGTCAGAAGGTAGAAATACCTATCTATTCCTTCGAGAAACATCAGCGGGAAGAGAAGACGATCTCTCTATACTCCCCGCATGTTGTCATCCTCGAAGGAATACTGGCTTTTACGGACCCAAGAGTAGCAGACATGATGGATGTCAAGGCATGTAGCAAGACCTCGTAAAACTGTGCCCTCTCTAGCTAACAGCATTAGATTTTCGTGGAAGCTGATATGGACGTTTGCCTCGGGAGAAGAAGTAAGAACCCCTGCAATAGCTTGCACGTATGTTTCTTTGATTCGGGAAGATTATTCGACTAATAGAAACACCTACTACAAGTTCTGCGAGACGTCCGAGATAGAGGACGGACGATAGACGGCGTCATCAAGCAATGGTTCAAATTTGTAAAGCCATCGTACACAAGATTTGTGGAACCTCAACGCCACATATCCGGTATTTATCCCCCTTAACAAGGCAAAACGTTCGCTGTTGACTGGTTGTAAAGACATAATAATTCCCCGAGGCATCGAAAACAGAACTGCCATAGGTATGCGCCATGACTGTTCAGCTGTTCATCCGAGCACCCGAATTGACGAAATCAGATATGGTGGTTAAGCACATCCAGCGAATCCTTCGAGAGAAATCTGAAGCCCATTATCTTGAGCTACAAAGGCTGGGCCAGCAAGTTGAAGAGAAACCCCTATCCGCGAATGTTATCGTCATGGAGCAGACCCCCCAGTTGGTGGGTATAAACACCATTTTACAAAATCCTCATACAGAGCAGGTTGATTTTGTGTTCTACTTTGACCGGCTGGCATGCCTCATGATAGAACGGTACGTCTTGTTTTTCCATGCCTTTCCCTATTTTATGCATTAAGAAGCAGCCGTAAGAGCTAAGAGATAAGATAGCGCGCTGGATACCATCCCATTCGTCCCCGCCACGGTGACCACACCTGAGCAATATATCTATCATGGCCTGCGACCTGCAGGTACAGTATCCGCCGTTGCTATCCTTCGCGGTGGTTCTTGTCTGGAAACGGGCCTGAAACGAACGATTCCAGACTGTATTACTGGCCGGGTTCTCATTCAAACAAATTACCGGACAGGGGAGCCTGAACTGCATTTTCTGAAACTACCCCGGAATATCAATGACCACGCCTCTGTCATACTGCTTGATCCACAAATGTCAAGTGGTGGAGCTGCATTGATGGCGGTGCGAGTCCTCGTCGACCATGGGGTAGATGAAGGGCGTATCGTGTTTGTAACCTTCGCCGCAGGGAAACGCGGTTTGCAGAGATTAACCGCCGTCTATCCCGACGTCAAAGTTGTGGTGGGTCGGATAGAAGACGAAGGGGAATCGAGATGGATTGAGAAGCGTTATTTCGGGTGTTAGGTGATTGAGATACCCATTTCGCTTACTTTTGTTCCGATTTGTAGCGAATCGTGCATGTATCATACATATCCTTGTCCCTTCTTTTCCGTCTGAACTATTTATTCTACCTTCCCTTGGATCATTATTGGAAATGATTGCTAGAGTCAGGTGGTGTTTGAGATGTCATGTCCATAAATAGTTATATCCCTTAGCTTTCTATAACGGTAGTGATCTCTTGTATGAAGTACATACATAATTTCATTCCCGAATGCGAGACGGATCTCGCTGGTGCGGAGATAGGAGATTAAAAAAAGCCAATGCACGGACCACCTCCACCAGCATCAAACAAATCAAAAAAGAATTTGTTCAAGCTTGAGGACCCGCGACGAACACAAAATTTTGAGACCATTTAATAGCTATTAGGAAGCAGCTACAAGGGTATATATAACCCATGTGTCTTCCACATTAACATTTCCCATCAACGCTGAACGACTTTCTTTTAAAAAAAGAGCGAGCGCCCGTTCTATAACGAATATCCTTGCTGGTTGAAGCCATCTCGCCATGGCCGACTCGGGGAAGAATGAGAAACCCAAGCGGGCAAAATCACGATCAGCGGGAAACCATGGAACTGGACCAGTTATAAGTATGTTACTATAGTACCTACCTCCTTTTTACTGCTACTGGTAGAACGAGGGGTGCAGAAAATCCTGTTCTATGTACCCTTCATACTAACACATTCTTCGACCTTACTACAGCGGATCCACGATTCGCCAACATCCAATCCGATCCCCGATACAGGCTGCCCAGCAAGAGACATACTCATGTCAAATTGGATAAGCGATTCGCGCACATGCTGCGCGATGAAGACTTTTCGAAAAATGCCGCTGTCGACCGGTACGGTAGGAAGTTACGGAGGGATGATACGAAAAAGCAGCTGGAGAGATTCTACAGACTTGATGAGGACGGGGAGGATGAAGGCAAAGAAGAGCAGGAAGAAGACGCGGAAAAAGAAGAAGAAAATGAAAACGATGATAATATGAGTGTGGACGATGATGCGGTGGTAGAAAAGGAACTGCGCAAGGCAGACAAACGGGGCTACGATCCCGCAAGAGATGGAGGATTCTCCGAGTCCTCTTCGGATGAGAGCTCGAGTGAGGAAGAGGATGAGTATGTTGAGGAGGACGTGGAGGAAATACAGTTTCCCAATCAACAGCAAAGCGATGTACCACTTGGTGATGTCAGTCGGCGGATTGCGGTCGTTAATCTGGATTGGGATAATATTCGCGCGCAAGATTTAATGGCCGTCTTTTCGAGCTTTTTACCACCTGGAGGGAGTATCCACAAGGTTTCGATATATCCTAGTGAATTTGGGCGGGAGAGGATGGAGAGGGAGGAAATGGAGGGGCCACCGAAGGAAATTTTTGCTTCAAAGAAGAAGAAGGATGAAGAAAGCGATCTAGAGGATAGTGATCTTGAGAGTGAAGAGGAGGATGAGGAAGAGGAGGAAGAGAAAATCAAACAATCTATCATTAAGGAAGATCAGGGGGACGAGTTTGATTCCGCACATCTACGCAAGTACCAGCTTGAAAGGCTCCGGTACTTCTACGCCATTTTGATCTGCTCGTCTGAAGCAGTTGCCAAACACATCTATGACGCTGTAGACGGGACTGAGTATATGAGCAGCGCAAACTTTTTCGATCTGAGATTCGTCCCTGACGAAACAGATTTCTCAAATGATACCCCAAGAGACGAATGCGACAGGATTCCCGACGGATACAAGCCTAGCGACTTTGTTACTGATGCCTTGCAGCATAGTAAAGTCAAGCTTACGTGGGACGCGGATGATACGAGTCGGAAGGAAGCACAAGCAAGAGCGTTCAAAGGTGGTAGGAAAGAGATTGACGAGAATGACCTCAAAGCATACTTGGGCAGCGATAGCTCTGATGACGGGGGTGATGAGAATGGCGGAGTGGAAGTTGTCGATGCTACAGCGGGAGACGGCGCCATTGTGACCACCGCCCCCGTTAAACTAAGCAAAAAGGAGGCTGCGCGAGAGAAGATGCGAGCTTTGCTTGGCTTCAATAAGGATAAGTCTACAACTGAATCTAGGAGTAAAGGGCCGGTCGGCGATATGGAAATAACGTTCTCGGCGGGCCTTTCTACAGGAGCATCTGGTGGGAACGTATTTGAGAACGAACCAGAAAAGGAAGAGACGACAGCAGAAAAATATATACGGAAAGAGAGGGAACGGAAAGCGAGACGAAAAGCTAGAATGAAGGCCGCTAGAAATGGTGAACCACTGCTCGTGGATGGCGAAGCCGAAGACAAGGCTCCTGAAGACTCGAAGGGTGAAAAGGAAGACTTGGGCTTCGATGATCCGTTCTTCACTGCTCCTGAGCAGGACGCAGCAGCTGCAACGGCGAGACGCAGAGAGGAAAGACGAAAGAAACGCGAAGAGCGGGAAGCAGATGAAGCCGCCACCGCTGCGAAGCGCGCTGAACTGGAGCTACTCATGGTCGACGACAAGACTTCGCATGTTAAACATTTTGATATGAAAGATATTGAGAAAGCAGAGAAACGAGCACGGAAAGCAGGAAAGAAGAAGGGAAAGAAGAGTGACACTGTTGAACCACCCCCGGATAATTTCAAGGTGGACGTCAAGGATGAGCGATTCCAACGGCTTTGGGAGAATCATGAGTTTGCCATTGATCCTTCGAATCCGCGGTTCAAGGCAACTGAGGGCATGAAGGCGTTATTGGAGGAGGGGCGGAAAAGGCGACGGAATAAGGATGATGATATTGTTGCGGATCGGGGACTGCCTGAGCCCGGGAAGAAGAGAAGGAAAGGCACTGATTCTAGGAATGTTGAGAGTGTAGCTGACGCCGATGATTTGAACAAACTGGTGGAGAGGGTGAAGGGGAAGACTAGAGGGATTAAGTCATAGATACATAGTGGTTTGAGTGAAATTGACATTCTAACAAGCCCCCTCCTGGAGAAGGAAGGGCAATCCGCAAGCTACAGATACCTCATTGTAAGATATTTTCTCGGAGGATTGCAATCCGAGGATGAGATATGAATCAACGTAAAATAGTCAAATAATCCTCTTCCGATTCCTACACATTTTAAATTCTTAGTCTATCATTGACTTCAAGCGTAGAGTGGTGGTTAACAGGACGGGACGAACTTCTTGAAGGAAGCTTGCCCAGCGACCAATCACAACGCGCGATGAAATTTAGTTAATATGAAAAGCAAAATCCCGCCAGCACATTTGTTCCTCTTGACCAGAACAGCTACAATTTCAGCAACGCTCAACCATGGCACATTTCCATGAAGACGCCTCGCGCACGAAGAGGAGGAAAATTGATGCTGGCTCTACTGGTACACAGATGCCAGCTGTGACAATCACCTCTCACACACAACTGCGCAACCTTCTTGCCTTCCAGCAGAGTGCTTCACAGGAAGTGAAACAGGGTATGTAGAATGCATGCAATGGCTACTTTATCCTTTTCTTTCCAAATATTTTTATCATATTTCATGACAACGACCAAATCTCTGATTTTCCAAATAGGTGTTCGGTATTTCAAGGACTTCCTCACTTCAATCAAGGAAGCTGAAAAAGAGAACGAAAAGGCGAAAAAGCTCCGCGTTCTCAAAGCTTATTGCGATTCTCAGCTCGTCAACGCGGGCGATGAAACCCAAGCAAGTTGCTTCCATGATCTACTTCAAACATGGAATTTTGCAGAGACTGAAAATCAAGAGTCCTTACTCTCATTGATTCCGTCTGTGCTGGCGCTTTTCCTGAAGACGATTTCTAGCCAGTTAGAGTTTCGAGATTTCGGGTTGGTCTTGTGCAAATTTTTGTTACAAAAGGAGCAGCTCAAGCTCTTCAATCGCGCATTTACCGCGAGCAAGACCAAGGAACATTTGATTTCTCCCTGCTTACGCCTTCTTACAGAACTTGTGAGCTTTGATGGGGGTGCCGTTGCACGCCTTGTTTATGGAAGGCGAGAAATCACATTTAAGCGACTTGACATCTTCCTCAGTGTCCGCAAATCTACTGCAGAGGCAGAGTCTGAAGGTCAACAAAAGTCAGGACTCCGTCGAAACGCTCAGCGTTACCTACTCGCTAACTTGAATTTCCAAAACGCCACTGCTAAAGAGGACATCATCGGTCAAGGGAAACTTATCCGTGCTTTCTTGGAAGACATCCGCAAAGATTCTCGAGACATTGTTATCGCTGTTATACGCGCTATTGATAAGCATATTGCGAGTGATGCATCTCTTTCGCGGAACGTTAAAAGCCGATTCCTAAACCGTCATAACCTTGAACGACTCGTCACTCTTTATGGGTATGAGAAGGAATCCAACGAGCCTGTGGTAAACGAGGAATCTGTGTCAAACGAGATTCATAAACTGTTGTTGGAAGTTTGCACGAACTCAGAGAAAGGAGTATTACTACCGGAAACGGGATGGTATCCTACTGGAAGCAACCCTGATGTGTTGCCGCCGAACGACGATGGTGCAATTCCCCTCGGGCTCGACTCTCCCGCCCACTTCGATAAATATAAGGAGTCAGTTCCAGTTCGCAACGGAAATCTATCGGCATTAATACAGCTTCTTCGCCCGGATTCAGATACCTTGCAAATGGAACTTCTACTGAAGATCTTCAGAGCTGTACCCGAGCTGGTATTTGACTTCTTCTCGAAGCGAACCATGTTCACGTCTGACCCTAAACCTACCCCGAGCTGGCTAGGAGAGTCCGCTTTTCTTTTCTCTACAATCCAACTTCCAGTGCCTACAAATTGCGGATGGAAGGGCAAAACAGTACTCATCCCTCCGCCAGTGACCGTTGCGATCGAAAGCATACTTCCTCGACCACTAACAAAGAAAATCTTGACAAGATGTCTAAATCAAAATACGGACATAATTACTTTATTCGCGGTTCGGGCTATCACCTTGGCTCTACGCAAGCTACAAAATGTTCTTCGGATTTTTAGTAAGGAGAGAGAAACCGGACAAGAACTCTGGACCCAAGCGGCGGGCAAGCTTGTTGAGGAGTTTTGCCGAAGATCTCCCTCGATGAAAGATGTCATACTACTCTTCAGAAACACTGGAAGGGACAACCTCCAACAGCAAGACGCGGTGCTCGAACTCCTCGCCATGTTTTACCAGGTTATTCCGACCGTTGCTCTGGAGGAAAAATTCGATATTTCGTTGACATTGGTTGAGGTTTTGAAACAACTTAACGGCGGGGAATCTCAGCCTGAGGATAAAGAATTGCTCTTCAGCCAGTTACAGAACTTATTGGTTATTGCCCGGGAGTCTCCTATGATGCGTTGGTGGCAGAAACCAGGTGAGATGGATTGTATTTTTCACGAGGTTAATTTTCTTCGACTAGTAAACTAATTTGGAATATATTTAGAATCCCTCCAATTTTCTGCCTTCGTCTCTGTTTTCCAAGTCCTTGCCAACACGGCCACTGTTCAAGCTCCCATCGACGACATCAAAAGTCTAATTCAAGGCGTATTAATCCAGAACTCGGTTATTTTAAGCCCTGCTTCTTTTAACGCATTGGTGTTAAGCATTGACGCATCTGACAGCACTGCTCTTGCAACTCAACTAGAATTTCTAGACAACTGCATCACCAGATTGGTCAAGAAGCCCGTCCTCTATTTAGATTTCGCTGAGTCCTTGGTTGGTGGCAGCCAAGAGAACTTGAGTCTTCTTGTTTGTGTTGTCAACGAACAGTGGCCATTCGTTGTCAAAAGCGGGCAGAGTGACAAGCAAGCGATAATCTCGAATTGGATATCTCGATTCCTTGGGTTGTTAGCAATGGCCGGAGAGGCCAAGAGGGCTTTAAAAACTGTGCGTGATTCGGTTATTAGTACCATAGAAAACAAGAAGGCGCGGTCAGCTTTGAAAGTCGCATTTAAAAATGCCAAGGAAGCAGTCGATCAGAATTGGAGTGGCCATACTCTAGTTGCTGCGGATGCTTCTTCCAAATCCGAAACCCAGGATCAGGGGCCCCGTGTCAATCTGATAGAGATGTTTGGGGCACTGCCTGTTGAAAGTGAATCGCATCCAGTCCTGCATCGATGGGAAAGAGAGGAAATCGAGCTTGCGCTGGAGAAAGGCCATATTGGCGAATTGATGCTTTGTCTGTGTTCAGAGTATGGAGAAATCCGGAGACAGGCCAGTGCAGCAATATCTCGCTTTATGGTTAAGATCCGAGTAAGTATTAATCTCATCACGTACAAGATACCACTTTTCCAGATTTAACAGGTCTTTTAGGAATCAACATACGAGGAGAGCCAACCCATTTATATTGTTGCTGGTGAAGTTTTAGAAACTGCTAAGGAGGTTGGGCTAGAGACACCACTCCCGTACATTGCTGGAGAGCTTGCCGCGCGGATAGTGATGGTACTCACTGATCCCCTTCACAAGATATACGGCAAGGTGAACAAATTCTTGAACAAGAGCCCGCGATGGGAGGTTGGCAAGATTCCATCCTACTGGATAGATAAAATTTTGTTGCACGAGTCCGAGTACGATGACAGCTATCATGAGGAAGTGGGATGGCTGCTTGGTTTGCTCATTAATGGCCTGCGAACGAAGAAGGTATGATAGTCATCTGTTCGTATTTGAACAGCTTCTTCGAACGTAATGCTGACCCGCTAAATTTCAGGACATGGACATCTACCGACGTGCTAATGTCTTCGAACGGGTGCTTTCGCTATATAACTCCCCGAGCTTGCCGGACTCATTGCGAAAGTCTGTGTTGCATCTCATGTTCAGGGCATGCGAAGTGGGTGGGAGTACTACTCTTTTAACGCGAAATGGGGCGCTCAGCTGGATCCAAGGCCAAGTATCAGTACACGATAGCCAGAGTGATATCCTCCGGGCAATTGCCAGTGAGCTGCACAACAAGTCTGATCATGAATGGATTGATAAGTGGAGTGGATCGTCTTTGCCACATGTGGTAGCTCATATTTTAGGGTGAGGAGATGTCTACGGAATCCGGTAGAATAGTGTGGTTCACTGGCGGATGACTGAATTTGCAGCTTTTTAGTAGGACGAAGAAGCCATCCTAATGGGGACAATCTTTGTTTATTTACGTGTATATCGGTGTAGATTTCGGAAATTCTTGCAGATAGGTGAGGGAAGCAAGCACCTTGCTCATAAATTTCCGCGTGTTATAGATAATCATTTAGCACACACATCATCATATATTCATTTCCCATACTTCATACTTGCACTCCTATAAATACCGTGATATTGCTGTACTCGAGATTATATAGATCTTCAATGTTGCGCTGAGCCTCATCCCTCTCGCTCAAATTTTGCCCGAAGAAAAAGCTGTCTGGCTGGATTGGTGATAGACTTGCCTCTTTGGGCCAAACCAAAAAAAATCTCAACATCAACCTTCAACTTGCCTCCACGCAGTTCTGGCCACAACCAACGCACAAATCACCCCTCTACACACTTTTTAAACAAACACAGCAGTTCGGAGACCTCATTTCTCAGATACCCACAGCTTTTATTACCCAAATCAACATCCTATTGACGCACCTTCACCCCCGACTCGACCAGCATTGGACTTCCTGGACATCCTAAACACACCAATTGTACTCCGTACTCCGACCTCACCTCTCAGCTCCAGGCCAGATCCTTGAAATACTTCGCTACAAACAACACCGGACTACTTTTTATACCTATTACCTCACATTGGAAACAATATAATTTCCCCATTCTACGTTTCTGTTTGGCTTCAGCCACCTTCATCCCCTCATATCCCCCTCCTCGGGGTCATGAGAGCCTCTCCCTCCCGAGCCCTCGACACTTTCTCCCATGGCCCGACGGTACCAGCCTTCGGAGCTGTTACAGCTACGCGATTCTCCCCTAGTTGTCAAACCAGATAACTTACCTCCTATAGAAGAATGGATGGGGTAAGTCTGTGCGCTTTGTTTATTTAGTTGGCAACCGGTTGTTAACGGTGTTTTGTTGTAGACCACCTCCAGACCCGCCCCTACAAAAGAAAAATCTTAATAGCCGAGAGCCAGGCCCTCAACAAGATCTTGCGAACAGGAGGTCAAGTGTTTTCGAGAGCCGCCATATCTCGCGTGGCTCGACTTCAGGTAAGCATTGGGTAGCTTTTTAAATTACAGCCATATCAATTATCATTGTTGACTTAAACTTTCCCTCCGTTTTAGAAGATATTGTTTTGGGACCGCCCAGGACTTCATTTGCATCTGCATCCCGTGGATTCGGAAAATCGATCGATGCTACTGATCGATCCTCTGCAAAACTTAATGAGACTGACGACCAGAAACAAGATCGGTACAATTTTCGTGACAAATTCTTCAAGGATAGAGACGTTGGAGATCGAGATAACGACCGGAGGGATACGAAACCAACCTTAGCCAATGGCCGCCGCGCTGTCCGAGACGATAGGGAAGACTGGTCTGGGGGGAGAACCCGCCGGACATTTGGTCCAGAAGAATCTGATAGAAGACCTAGGCGGAATGGAGATTCAGACCGGTGGGAGATGCGCGATCATCGTGACCACCAGGAAGGTAGCAATGAACGGACTCCTCGAGACAAGGAACATGGCCGATATCCACCCCGAAGAGACGGCCAGGGTAGAGTCAAGCATGATAATTGGTTCCGGGATGGCGAAACACCGGATGCCGTGGATGGCGAGGAGGAGAAGACGCCGGTCAGACATCGTGAATGGCGCCGTGGTGGCCATGGCGGGGATAGGGACTGGAATCGACCCACGAAGCATGAGCAGGAACCAGAATGGTTGGATTCGACGGATCGAGAAGGGTCCAAAGAGACGCATACTCAAGCAGATTTCCAGCGCTGGAAGGAGCGCATGAAAGCAGGCTCTGCTCAAGCGGCGTCCCAAGAGGAGAAGAAGGAACTTTTTCCAGAACCAGTGAACACAGAATCCAAACCAAAGGAGCCATCTAAACGGCTTGATGGTGAAATATTTGGAACCTTGGATCCGTCCCTAGTGGATCCCGGCTTGGACAAGTTCTTTGGCCTGTGGAGTGAGAGTAAACAAGTCCGCGACCATACTCCCGAGATTATTCCCGATGGAAATGCCAATATCGAGTCACTTCCAACCAAGGCGACTAAAGCATCGAGATTTGCCGGAATTTTCAACTCGCCCTCCGATCCTGCGAATCGGGAACCGGAGCCTCAAACTATAATCCGTACTGAGCAGGTCCGGCCAGCTTCAACCGACGCAGATCAAGAGGGATTCCAGCGAATATTACAAATGCTTGGAGGAAACAAATCTAGGAAGGCTAGCCTTCAGGTGGACGGGTCAATGCAACAACAGCCATCGCAGGCCCCACCACCACCACAAGTAGATTATGTTAAATCGTCAACAACTATGTCGTCCCCTATACGAGAATCTTCTATTCGACAAGAGTATGCTCCATTGAACTCTCCACGGGACCCTCCTCCGGGACTGGAGGCTCTCTTCGTCCAGAAACCAAAAGAACCACCTGGGCCGAATCATGACACTGAGTTCCTACTTCGACTTATGCAGCAGTCCAAAATTTCCTCTCCAAATCACCAGGCCAACCCTCGAGCCCCCCCTGCTTCGTTTCAAACTGGTGGAGCAATGAATGTGCGAGATATGCATATAAGAGCTCAAGCGTTGGAGAAACAGAAATCTCCCGTTTTCCTTGATGATCCAGCAATTGCTAATATCAGGAGAGCGGAGCCTCAAGACCCACGAGACCAGCTTCGCCGTAGAACCACTAACGGCCCCCCTATGGGCTATTTTGATGATATGGGTTTCCCGCCATCGCAGGGTAACCAGACCCCTAACCAGCCATCTGGAGTTCGTCCACCTGGCCCCGGACAACCCCCACTGGCGCTGCAACGCCCACCTGGATTTGAGCAGATCCAGCCGCCTGGATGGCCTAACCAACAGCCGCAGCCCCCTGGCCCAAACCAATTCATGTTGCCACCTGGACTTACTCAGCAGCCAAACCGAAATATGAATCCAAACTTCCCAGCCGCACCTCCTATGCCCATGCATGCCGCAGGCCCACCTCCGAATGACCGGCAAGCTTATCAACGAAATGCGATGGGGGGTGGTCCGCCACCATTTGTACCTCCCCCTGGCATGATGCCTCCCCCAGGTTATGTGAATATGAATGCCCCACCACCGTCTGCATTCCCACCAATGCCTCACACACCAGATGGGATGATGGGTATGTCTCATGGAAATTCTGGCCAGTATGGTGGCATGCCTCCTCAAGGCCCACCCCAACCATCATCTAGGCAGTCATTTGACATGTTTGGCCCTCCCAGCGGAGACGGAGGCATGGCTGCTAGGAATGGCGCAGGAATGATGGGTCCATACCGCTAAAACTTTCCTCGCTAACGACTGATTGAGAATCAAGAAGCCCTCACCTACCCTCCTTTAAGATTAACTATCATCGAGCCTGCACCGCAGGACTAGGGCTGACATTGAGCGGATTCCAATCTTATCTTTTCACACTGAGGCATAACCAACAATTTGCGTAGTATAATTTATCATCCTACCTGGCCTACCTCATATTCGCGTTCTTTATTGTTTTGTGGTTTTGTGGTGCTTTTCCTTTCCTTTACTTTCCCTCTCCCTTTCTTTCTTTCTTTTCTTTTCTTTCTTTCTTTTTTTTTTTTTGGACTTGGACTTGGACTTTGGGATGGATGGGACTTGTTTATAGTTTACCCACGTACGTTAGTGATTTCTTTGCTTGCGTGTTTGGCAATTCTCCATTTCTTCTCATGTACGGCCTCGGTTTCTTCGTTTTTCCTGATTGTCTCTTTTATTTCGTTCTTCCCATGCTGTTGGCATCCACTATTTTGCTGGTACCTATTTTTCTATTTTTGCTCCTTTTTTCCTTTAGGCTTCATGTTTTTCCATGCCCTCGCTCTCTCCTTCTCTACATTTTATATATCTACATATATATCCACATTATGGTTAGGCCGTGGAATGGGTAGGTCAGGTACGTTGATAAATAATATACTTTCATTCCTCATTGATATTGGACTTTGCCGACATATCTACGTTCCGTTACATTACCTTTCTTTTTGTGTTCTCACATGACGCCGTCTATAACGAAAAGATTAAAGGAAAGAGCAAATAGGATGACGAGGAAGTAGAAGAATGGTCCGCTTTTCTATTAAATACCCCCGTCTAATTAGGGTAACTAAAGTACCTGTTTACCACCCCTTGAAAGCAAATTCATCAAGTGTACAAATCAAACTAAGATAAAGAACAAAACCAACAGCGCCAGCGTTCAGCTAGCTGTTTTCCCAGTTACAACGCCAAAAAAAGGAGTGGGAAAAAAGAAAAGTAGGTGTATATAGTAATTACATACGTCAGGCGTTGCCAAATAATATAACCCATATGAGACGGACATGAGAAGGAATGTAAACAAGACACGGTTCTTTATTAACCCCAAGTTCCACCGCCACCACCTCTTCCTTGGCGTCTTTGCGCGGATAACCGCCAGTCATCGTCGCCTGCGAAACGGTTGTGGAGAGGCTGGATTCGTTCTGCCCTTTTCCGCTTCGAGAGACGGTCGGTTGGCGCAACTTTAAAGAATGTGGGCGCTGCTTCAACGAGCCACTGTTTTTTGGTAAAAAGAGAGTTAGAACGGATATTTAATTTTGCTCTGCTTTTGAATAGGGATAACCGGGAAAGTAGTCTAGGGGAAAGTAAAGGGAAGGAGGTACATACCTTTGGTTCTATACTTGTAGTACAATGCATATATTCCTTCGTCGTAAGAACCAAAGTGTGGAATATGACATGCTCAGCGGCCTTACCAAATAGCGCGGAACTGGGATGCATGTAGACAGGTGTGCCCTCGATCAAAGTCTTATAACCCTCCTGTGGGTCCTTACGAGCCGCGTTCCGGAAGAATCCTGAGCAGAGCGCCTGCCGGACCTTTGTCGTGTTTCGCCCGCAGGAGACTATTTTGTGTTTATAGCGCTCCATGATGGTGACCAGTTGCTCGCGCACATCTTGCACGCGCCGCATCTGCCGCGCCTGTATGAAGTTCTCAAAACACCAAGGGCTGCTGAAACGTGAATTCTTCCATCCGTTGTAGACGTTTAAAAGGGTGAGGTGGTCGCCATGGGGGTCGTGGAATTTGGCCTTTTTCTGATCCGCTTGTTGTTGCTTTTCCTTGGGCCGATAGAAAATGCTGTGTACTGAAAGCATGGCGACGATACTGAGCATTTCGTCTGAGCAGCCCATCTCGACGGAGGCGATTAGCACTTTGGCTAATGCCGGCTCCATGGGGAAGTCAGCCATTTTTCTTCCTAACCGAGTTAGAAGGCCTTCATCGTCAAGAGCGGAGAGGGCGTAAAGTTCCTCAAGTGCCGTAAGCATAGTATTCGTTGGGGGAGGGTCCATGAAATCGAAGTGAAGAAGGTCGTTGATGCCCATGGCTTTTAGCATGAGAATCGTATGTGAGAGATTCTGACGTTGAATTTCGGGGACAGTGGTTGGAAGCATTTCCGATTGATACGCTGCTTCAGTGTAGAGACGGAAACATTTACCAGGTCCCGTTCTTCCTGCTCGTCCGGATCGCTGCTTCGCCTGTGCTTGGGAAATGGGTGTTACAACGAGGGAATCCATTCCAAGTTTTGGGTCATAAGCATTTTGCTTTACAAAGCCCGGGTCAACAACATAGTATATTTGGTCTATTGTAATTGATGTTTCCGCAATGTTTGTGGCGATGACAACCTTCCGGCTTCCAGGGGGTGCAGGCTCGAAAATCCTGCTCTGCATCTCACTAGGAAGAGCAGAATAGACGGGTAAAATAATCAGTTCAGGAACGCTAGGCCCAAGCGCTTTCATTCGTTCGTATAAAATTTCGCAGGCCGTATCGATCTCCTCTTGACCAGTCAAGAATAATAGGATATCTCCGGCGGGTTCTGTCAAGTGTATCTGCATCACTGTGACTAAAGCTGCATCTAAATAGTCCGATTCTGGCTCCCTCGAGTACATGATTTCCACAGGGTATGTTCGTCCCGGGATCGAGAAGATGGGACACATGTTAAAATATTCAGAGAACTTATCAGCGTCTAGAGTAGCTGAGGTAACGATAATCTTCAAGTCAGGCCGTCGTATAATGGTCTTTTTGAGGAGGCCGAATAGAACATCAGTACTGATAGTTCGCTCGTGAGCCTCATCCAACATGATAACCGAGTATTTCTTCAAGTCAGGATCAAGAAGAATTTCTCTCTGGAGGATACCATCTGTCATGTATTTGATCTTCGTCTCGGGGCTGGTGCAGTCTTCAAATCGGATGGTGTATCCAACTTCTGCGCCCAAACGACAACCAACTTCTTCTGAAACACGCTTCGCGACGGAGACCGCGGCTACACGTCGGGGCTGAGTGCAACCAATAATGCCGTTGTTTGCAAATCCACCCTCAGCGAGATACTGGGTTAGCTGCGTAGTTTTACCAGAGCCGGTATCGCCAACAACAATTAGAAGTTGGTTTTCCTTCACGGCTTCCAGTAACTGTTTGCGGAATTTGAAAACAGGAAGACTTTCGCGCTGCTGTTTCATCGTCATGTTTGTCCTCCTCCCGAAAGATTGGTCTTTGCTCTGCGTCACCCGTTTCCACTCCGGCATTGTATCCGTTGTCTTCGTGACTTGGGCATTCCGCAGATCCGCAGCGAACTTCCTCTCGTCTGGTGCAACCATAGGGTCATGCCACTGGGCATTGAGATCCACTCCCGCAGCTTGCTCGGCAGCCTTGTCTTGAGCTTCTTGTTGTCGTAGCTCTCTTCTTTCCTTGGCCAAATTGGTCCCAGCCATAGCAGCACGATTGAGTGAGCCATCCGGAGCCTTAACAACACGAATAGGAGAGAGTTCAAGGGATTGCTTCGTCTGGCCAGCCAAGAACGGAGGTTCCTCATCTCTAACTTCAATATCCACATCCTCCTCTTCCTCAAAATCGCCTTCTCCCGTAAGGGTAGCGTGGTATTCCTCGTCAATATCTGGATAATCTGCCGCGGAAACGGCGCCCGATGCAATGAGTTGCTTTATTTCCCATCTTTCCGGAGAATTCAAGCGTTTTCGATTTCTCACAGGCCTGCCCTCGTCATCTTCAATGATGGGAACAGGGGTGCTGAGATTCCCGTAGCGGTCATCAGAGCCAGTTCCGTTAAGTCGTTCCATATTGGCACCGGAAGCAAGCCGTTTTTGCGGGGCGAGATCACGACCAGTAACTTGATCAACCTCCTTCATAGATAAGCCGATTCGAGCCCCCTGTATAGTATTGACCTTCACCTTTACGGGTTGGCCCTTCGACACAAGGTCAGATGGGTGGTTAACTCGTGCGCCATCTTGCATCGCGGATACGTGAACGAGTCCATCAACTTTCCCCTTCACACCTAGGAGGTTCACAAATGCGCCAAAGTCTTTTATCCCTGTGACCCTCCCGTCGTAGATTTTGAAGAGAATAGGTTGGTCGTCTAGTTCAGGTGTTGGGGGTCGTTTGAAATATTCCTCGTCATCGCGATCCCGCCGCCTCCTGCTTTCACCAAAGCCATTGGCGTACCCATCATCTCTGCCCCTAGTTCTCGTAACAGCTCTGCCAAATTCATCCAGATCATCTCGTTTTCGCCGTGACCGTTCTGCGCTCCGTGATCTGGACCTCGATCGGTACCTGTCCCTCCGCGATTTGCCCCCATCGTACTCATCACCACCTGGGCTCCTGCTTCGCTTCCTGGTATTCGTCGTACTTTTGCGGTCTCTTGCCTTTCCAGCCAAACCTTCCAACATCGCAAAAGTATCATCCATCGCGCCCGCAGTCGCAACGTCCGTCGATGCTGGTCCCCCAGGTGTCGTATCATCGTCTTCCCACTGTGGCACCTTATCAGGGACCGCTAGACCTTTAAAAACACGCGCTTTCCTCTCAAGTTCATCCAACCCCTCGTCTTTGCCATTTTGTTCATTGTCCCTGGAGGATTCTTTTTGTTTACCCTTGAATTTTGGGTGCAGCGTCAGGACTAGACGATCTATACTCTCGATCAAGCTCTGAGGGAAATCGGCTCCGATTTCATCGAGTGCACGCTTGAATTCCGCAAACGAGCTGCATTTTAAATGTTGGTCGATCACGAACTCAGCGAGGGTTTTGTCGTTGACCCCGAGATGGTTTTGGAGCTCCGTGGTTACCTTCGACACGAGGGAAAAGAGCTCCAGGGACTCGAGATCGTCCATGCTGACGCAAGGAGGACTCAGAAAGGTATTTGATTTAAAGAGCCTTTGAGCAGAGGTAGAAAGCGGGTAGAAATCACTGAGTTTCTATTCTCTGTTCCGTTCCGCACGCTTCGATAGGAGATATCTCCGTTGTAACGGAACATTGTTATTGCGAGATCCGACACCGGCAAGTGTTATTGCCACCAAAACCGTGCGCTTAAGATTATCGCCGATAACGATATTGCCGGCCATAGCACTCCCTAACGCTATGGAGTACAGCTCGTCGGTTTAAATCAAAACCTCCTATTGTCAGTTTTGACGAGCGAATTGTATGCATGATATTCAGTTGAAAGGAGTTTGTCCGCCAGATTAAGGGTCTCGCTGCACTGGGAGCAAAATGACGATATTCACATTATATATTCTTAACTCCATCTATCTTTGGGTATAGTCGTCGTTTGGTAATTTGCCTGTGCGCAGCTAAATAAAACAACCCATGCGCCATTGTGAAACATATGAAATCAGCTTTTCCCTATACTGAATACATGGTGAATATACATTGGGCCTTGTCGAAAATGTAACATAACAGATGACCCCAAAAATATAGTACTGGTGTATGATAATGCCCCACCCAAAAATAGGAGAAGAAGCTGGAAAAACAAAGGGATCTCTATGTGTATTGATACAAGGTAAAGGAACAAGAAGAAAAGCTTGCGGGTTTCTATAAACAATGATTTGGTTCATAGCTATGGAGCAGTAAGGCATATCATGAAGACGGGTCGTTCGGAGTTTGGCGATGAGAGTGGTGGTCTGGAAGAAAACTCAGTGACGTGAATCTATGAGACCAAAAGGGAATCATGTCATGATAGGGGTATGAGGTGGACGACCCTCACAAAAGAAGGCGACCAACGTCTGCAATGATTCCCTAGGTGGGAGGGAGCCCTACAGAGCCGGATTGTGGCTCCTTCATACCGCCATGCTTTTATGTACCTGTACGCATTGGCGGGGTGACCAAAGGCATGGGAGGCGGCGCTGCTAAAATTCAATTCCGCCGCGTTTTGCTAGCCCTAGATTAGCGCCGTTTGAGGGTGGCCCACCGCGTTTGGAAGCCGAATCACTTGCAGGACAGTAAGGGTGAGGAGAATTATAGATAGGTTTTTAGCCTATTAAGTAGCCCCATTCGTTCTAAGCCGCTGAACGTGAAGCATTCAATCGCTCTTTCTGTTCGGGCATATCGTCCCACACTTCCGCTTCTGGAATATTTCCAAAGTCGATTTCCACGCCTTCTGATTCAGCAGCAAATGCTTTTTCCCGCATTTCCGTTTGTCGTTGCAAAGCATACTGCCTCCTGAGGGATGTAGCTTTCCGTAGGTGTCGATTCGCCGAAAATTCAGTCAAAGCTCTATCCATCTTTATTTCAGTCAACGACTTGACATGGGTAGCAAGCGCTCGATTGGTAAAAACGCCTCCGCATCTGTAACTCAGCCAGAGGTAGAGGACTAGGGATCGATGTAGGGTTTCGAGTGTAGCGAGGTAGCCTTTGTCGCCGGAAACTGGTTTGTCGAGAACATCGATGGGTAGATCGTCAATTTCGAGCAGATCGCCACTCCTATTCTCTGCCACGCAGCGCACAAATTCCCTGAAAATATTGCTCATCTGAGGATCTCTCATATGAGTTGGCGCCGAGAGGAAAACAAGCTTTTCATCCATGCTAAGACCTTTGATGCTGTCTATGGCCTCTGCCGCCTCAGCATGGCCTTGGCCATCGCTTAGGAAAAAGCTGGAATCCACTTGTGCTATGTTGTGGAGGCGTTGTAGGATATATGCGAAAGGGGTGCCGGGCGGGAAGTGCTCTGAAAAGCGTTTCACGATATGATCCGGAGGCAATAATCCCGCTGCGAGGATGGGCTCTGGCTCGGTGTCCAAGGCTTTCCGAATGTAAGGGAGATCCACATCTTCGAGGGAGGTCACAAATCCAACATTTGTTTCTGCTTCCTTGTCTGAGCTGGCGATCTTGGAACTGTTTGTGTTTGCCGTATCCTTTGCTGAACGATATCGACCAGCACGGCCTCCGATTTGTTTAACTTGGGATACGGTAAGCCGTGTCAGCCCTGTCGGTAATCTTCGCACGACCGATTCGAAAATAATTCGTTTACAGCTCCTTTAATAGAAGGTCAGTAGCTAATCATGCAAACCACAAATGAAAAAACAATACGAGACTTACAAATTGAGGCCCATGCCAATCGCATCACTGGCCACGAGAAAGTCGTAGTCGTTATTAGGGTCATTAAATAAGTCTGCCTGCTGCGACCGAATTTCCGCGGGTAAGCTACCGTATACAATAGCAGCTCTCCGACCAGTTGCTTTTTCGATTTCTTGCTTCAAACCATGAATACCAATGCGAGAAAACGCAACGACGCAATCCCCTTTTTGGAGATTTGACAAGTTTCCCTTCAAACTTCTGCTCATGGCTTTCAGTGGGTTGAGCCGCTCGTAGTGGTGAATTTCAAGCTTATCCCCCATCAAGCCAGCTAAATCGCGAATCAGTGGTACAACTCTTTCTTCGCCACAAAGGTGTAGCTCGTGGGCCCTGGCGCCAAGCAATGCCCGTGTCCAAGCCCAACCTCTATGAGGGTCTGCGATCATCTGGATCTCATCGATAACCCCAACCTCAACGTCTTGACCGAAAGGAGCCATTTCGACAGTATTGCTATAAATTCCCGGAATTTGATCCTGTGAGATTCTAACCTCGTCACCGGTTACGAGGCCACATGGGATACCTTTAGCATTGAGACGAGTGTATATTTCATGAGCGAGGAGCCGTAGAGGGCCAGCATAGAATCCAGTCTTGGCTTTTTCGAGCCGCTTTAGGGCATGGTATGTTTTGCCCGAGTTGGTCGGGCCAACATGAAGGTGAATCGTGCGATGCAAGCTGCGAGCAGCAGGGTACCATTCTGTTGGATTACGCAGATCCGCCAGCGCCCTTTGTTCCTTGAGGCTTGAGGAGAAATTGACATCGTAGTTGTAAATTTTGAATTCCTGTTTTAGCGCTTTGGTCAATTCTGCCGGTCCGGAGTTAACAAAAGTTCGTTCAAGTCTTCCCCTGAGGTTGAGGGCCTCCGAGTCCTCTGCGTTAAGTGGAGATAGATTTTCTGCCTTTACAGCCCGTGTTACGAACTCTTCAAACCCCGCCCAGCGACCTGGGATTTGACCCTGTCGTTGGAACCCAAGCCGTACCGCAGACACGGCTGTCAATACCACCGACGCCAAGTTCCCGGCTTTTCCCGTCGCTGAACGCCTTGCATTCCGCTGCCGAATGTGCGGGGGAAGTCTCGTTTGCACCTATAAAAATGGACGTGTAAGCTGAGATAGAAAACTGGCTTCGGTTATATTATTATCGTACCTGTTCTGGAAGCGCTGAATCAGGGTCAGCAGGGTCTATAACCTGTGCATTGGGTCTGCGTGCTTGCTTTTTGGCTTTAGACTTTGACCTTTGCCATGCAGAAGTTGTGCTGAAGGCCCGGTTCAGCGGCAGAATCCCAGGTCTAAAGACACAAAGCAAGCATCGGCCTTGTGGCGCCCGCCATACTTGCATGCTCGTAATATGAAATATGGACAATCTGCCAAAAATGCGCTTTGTTTTTTGACAGTAATACCATTCAAATAATTGTCGTTGCAAGCCCGAATGGCAAAGCATGAAGATGTATCAATCTCCAGACATTGAAGCTTGGATTGAAAAAAATCCGCGGAATGGAAAAACGGGAACTCCGAGCCTCCACTCCACCCGCCGATTGGTTGGTGGGGCATCAAAGGGCGCCACAGGTTACAAAGTCGGGGTTGGACTAACTACACATCATAGAGTTCTCCTGTCCGATGCTCGTCTTTTGTCTTTAATAAGAATACTTTGCGCTATCCTACGGCATACATTTTCGTGGAATCAAGTCCTATCAATCTTCTAGCGCCAATCCTGTCCGGCCCGGTGCCCCATGCTTCGCCCCGACCACCAGACAAGATGGACTCCTCCTTGATAGAGATCCAGCGCAGAGGTAGGCAGCTAGCTCCCCTTACTTGCAGTCCGTTAGTTTTCAGCTATCTTTGGCTAAACATGCTTCTTTCTTTAGCTATCCTGGACACAGTCCGTTTTACCGGTGGCAGAGACGTGAGTGACGCCTCGTTTCCCTCTCACAGGAAGAATATTGGCATTGACTTGACGTTGGATTCTAGTGGAAAGTCCTGGTGTTGGATGAAGGTAGCAGGAAACTCATCGATAATGCAGTCAAGGAAGACGATATTTTGAAGGAGAATGTTACGAGTAAGCGGTCTAGCCTGTATTTATTAGCATAGACTGACCCTGTACTAACTAATTGAAGACGTTGAACAGATCGAGGACCGGCGACCAATGAATAAGGATCTTGATGCCCTTTATATATTGTCACCGTTGCCCCATATCGTAGACTGTGTTATGGCGGATTTCGAGCGCCGGCGGTACAGGAAATCATTTTTGGTTTGGATTTCAAGTCAGCCTGTTGCAAATCGGTACTTGGAAAGTGTGTTCTGACAAAGGTCATAGATCTCGACCCCCAGCTGCGGCACAGGATAGAAAGGTCATCCATGGCTCGGGATCAGATCGCTGATTTCCGTGTCATGAATATTAATTTCTTCCCCAGGGAAGCCCATGTCGCAATATTCAGGGACCCGTGGAGCTTCCCGACCCTCTTTCATCCTGCCTGCAATAACTTGATCAGGCCTCATCTGGACGAGTTGGCACAAAAGGTTGGTGCTTTCTAGTGAAGACCTTCTAGACAAAATAGTAATATATGAGCCACCTAGATTGTATCGGTCTGCGTTTCGCTTGGCGAGTACCCTATTGTCCGATACTATCGTCCGAAAAATCCAGCCCACGAAGCAAGCGTCCTCTGCTCTCACCTGGCGCGGTTTGTGCAGGATCAGCTAGATGAGTACGCAAAACATCATGATGATTACCCACCACCGTCCACGCGGCCGCGGGGAATACTCTATATTCTAGACCGATCAATGGATGTCTATGCCCCGTTAGTTCACGAATTTACGTATCAGGCCATGGCCCATGATCTGCTACCTATAAAAGAAGGAGATAAAGTGACCTACAAAACTACGCTCAATGAGGGCTTACCAAATGAAGAGGAAAAGGAAATGGAGATAAGTGAACATGATAGGATTTGGATCGACAGCCGGCATCTGCACATGAAGGATCTACTAGGAAAACTCGTCGATGATTTTAATAAATTTCGAGCAGATAACCCTCAATTTAACGAGAGGTGAGTCGCGACCTTAGTTGTTCCTAGTTTATACTAAGTCTGGCTCCCTTACTTATGTGGATTTAAAAATTCGAAGTGAAACTGCCAACCTTAACACCGTCAAGGACATGATTGCTGGGTTGGCTGAATTTCAAGAAGGCAAAAACGCATATACCCTACATCTTAATATGGCGCAAGAGTGTATGAGGTTGTTCCAGGAACGGAAATTAATGGAAGTCGCTTCTGTTGAGCAGGTAACCTTCACATCTCTTTGCGTTTGCAAATTTTGCAACTTTTCTTCCTTGACTAATTTGTAGTAGTCACTTTCTACAGGCTTGGACGAAGATTACCGGAAGCCTAAGCATCTCGCCGACCAGCTAGTTCGCCTATTAGATGAGGATTGCATCGGACCGTCAGAGCGCCTGAGGTTAATTCTTCTTTACTTGCTCTACAGGGATGGTCTTCTTCCTGGAGATATAAAAAAGCTTCTTGCTCACTCGCAACTTCCACCACAGGATGGTGAGGTTATATATAACCTCGATTTACTGGGTGCAAGGGTAGAAAAACCGCTTAAGGACACTAAGCCAAAGCCCGAACCTTTGTTCCCCCGAAAGGTTCCCGCTCAAACAACAGAAGATGACACGAGTCTTTCTCGCTTCGAACCTAACTTGAAACTCTTACTGGAAGAACAGAACAAAGGCACTTTGGACGCCACAATTTTCCCTTATACTAGGCCTCATCTGGACCCGGACGGCACACTAGGTCAAGACAATGCTTCGCAGGCATCCCTTCGGAGTGCAAAACCAACCTGGGCTCGAACCCGCCCGTCTGCAGCGGAGCCCCGCCAAAGAATTATTCTCTTCATGGCTGGCGGTGCGACATTTTCTGAAGCTCGTTCCTGCTATGAATTAGCCAGAGCCTCCTCAAAGGATGTTTACTTAGCCACATCTCACATGCTCACACCAAAACTCTTTTTACGCCAACTTGGGGATCTTAGCGTCGACAAACGTCGATTGGATCTTCCCGCAGATCGACCTGCACCAAAGGCTCCTGCGCACCTCTTCGAAAAACCAGCACCCCAACAGTCTCCAGTTCCCCCGACTGGCGGGCTTGCCTCGATGACTATCAGCTCCAGAGATGCTCCACCCAGGTCGCCGAACGGTGCTGCGGGTCAACCGATAAAGCCTACCGTGCCGGCGGTTGCATCTAGTAACAAATTAGGAAAGAAGGAAAAAGATAAAGACAAGGAGAAGGAGAAGAAGAAGCGCAATTTCTTCAAGTGATTAGAAAAGCAATTTCCTATTGCTGGAGATGCTTTTTGCCCTGTTTTTGTCGTTCCCCCTATGATACCTGGAATATATGCTCGCCGGACGACTGACTTACCAATATCCCTTCTTCCTGTTTTCATCCCTTCTTCCTGGCTTATTTCAGCATAGAACTGGCGCGGATCCATTCGGTGGTGTTAATGCTGTATTTCTCATTCCCCCTTTTCCCATGTAAATTCGTAGGTAGATGAGTAATGGTGATGAGTAATGGTATGAAGTTTAGTGGGAACGTGCTACGAGGTATTTTGACAGAAGCCGTTTCAGTTACCTTTTCTTAATAAAATAATACATCTCACAGGCGGCTTTCAACCATAACTATATGGGACCATAACAAAACAAAACCAAGCTAAACAAATCTAAACAAAATGGGTATCAAGACATTGCGCGTGCTCCATGTAGCCAGGCCCCTTCGATTGGGCCCCATAAACCTACGCCTCATCAATCATTGCATCATCATTCATAGTTAGTTAATTAAGTCCCCAAATACTTCCCAACATCCTCTCTCGCATAAAATATCTCCCTCAACCTTTCCCCCTTCTTCTTCCCCTCCGCCTCCATCTTCCTCACCTGCTTCGCATTCAACTTCTCCACTTTTGTCTTCGCCTTCTCTTGGCCGGGTTTGGGAGGTTTAACCCCTAAGCCGAGCGTATCGTGTTTTACCCTAGATTTCAGCGGTACAGAGATACCCTGTCCCTGCGGGCCTAGGCCCAGACGCGAATCTGGATCCCAGCCCCGTGCTGAGAGGTACTTGAAGCCGGGTCGGGTGCGGTCGATGGCAGAGGGTGGGTGGGAGTGCGGGAGGCAAACTTGATGGGCGAGGGTGGCTTCGTGGGGATTTGAAGCGTATTTCGTCTTGTGGCTTGAGGAAGAAGAGGGAGATGGGGAAAGTGGTAGGTCACATATTTCGCAGGTTGGGGATGTGGTGGTGGTGGTCGGTATGGATGGTGGGGCTGAGGCAGTGCGGTAGGGCTCCGACTTCTCAGTTTCTACCGCGGAGGGAAGGACGATGGATAGGTACCTGTCGCCTATCGAGGACGTGTTTGGTGTGCTGGACGTGGAGCTGGATATGGCGTTTCCAAATGTTTCGCTGGAGGGGATGAAAGGGACTCGTTTCCTTTTGATGCCGGCTCCGAAGACTCGTTGGTCTTCGAGAGGGAGAAAGTATTCATCATCATCGTATGCCATTATTGTTTAGCCATTTGTGGCTTATATGTGCTCCCTTTTGCCAGTGTGTCGCGTAGTTGTTGAAGGGTTCTTTTTCAGGAGTGCTCTATATCTCCGGAGTATGTAAATACATAATCTGATAGAGTCGGATCAATGACATGCAGCTAGCTGCTGACGTAATATACACCCCTAATCCAAATCGCGTAACTATGATCTCAAGCTAATGAAGTATTAATTAATTAATCGCTCCCTGGGCGGGCTGCTCTTTTAGCTGGGAGCCTGTGATCGTAGTTGCATGACTACTATTCCACAATGCCGGTCCCTTTCCTGGCACATTGGGCGGCCGAGGGCGTCTCAAGCATCCCATATGCTGTAACAGCAATAAAGGCGACCGTTGTGCTCGCCGTCATTGTCTTGTTGAAACGCTATTTTGGGGGCACAAGGAATACTGCGGAGCGTCTAATGCACTCTAAAGTAGTCATGATAACGGTATGTCATTGCTTTTGCTTTCGAATCCAATTTCTTTACCTTCCACTTACAAACTACTTGTAGGGCGGCACATCGGGAATTGGAGCTTCGATCGCACATAGCCTAGCTTCCCAAGGCGCCCAACTCATTCTCCTTACACAACACGCGCCCTCCGATCCTTTCCTGGTCGACTACATTGAAGACCTCAGGAATGCTACCGCCAATCAGCTCATCTATGCTGAGCAAGTTGATCTCTCCTCCTTATATTCCATACGAACGTTCGCTACGAAATGGATCGACAATGCTCCACCCCGGCGACTAGATATGGTTATCCTCTGTGCCAATACCATAAAACCCTCTCGCTCGAACCCCCGTACAACTATAGACTGTCTAGATGAGGAGTGGCAAGTAAACTACCTTGCCAATTACCACCTACTCAGCATCCTGAGTCCTGCGCTGCGCGCCCAACCCGCAGATCGAGATGTCAGGGTGATATTCGGAACTTGCTCGAGCTACATTGGTGCGGAATTGGACTTTCGAACCCTCGAAGATAGGAGTATGCGTACGGCGCATGCAAAACCTACTTCTAATAAACCAGCAGCGCGCAATTTGAAACCCGCGCATAAGCCCGCCCAAACATTGCATAATAAGACCGCTAGGAATACTAAAGCAGATCAAAGTAGCATGTATGCAACCTCCAAATTGGCGTTAATGATTTTTGCCAAATCCTTCCAATCCCATCTTTCCGCCTATGAACGACCGGATAAGCAACCCTGCAATACCCGCGTTCTCATCGTGGATCCGGGTTTCTCACGTACACCTGGTACACGGCGATGGATAACGGGCGGTTCATTATTAGGCCTCCTCATCTACCTAATAACATGGCCCATTTGGTGGCTTATTCTAAAATCTCCACAGCAAGGAGCACAGAGTTTCTTGACCGCTGCAATGGACATTGTGTTTGGAGCTCCCGCAGCAAATATTGGTGGACCCGGGGTTGGTTCCGGCGTTAATGGCGGGAAACTAATAAAGGAATGCAAGGAGTGGGATATCCTGCGCAAAGAAGTTATGGATGAGAAGATCGGGAAAGAATTGTGGGAGTTTAGTTCTCGCCAGATCGAGCAGCGGGAGACAGAGAGTGCTATTCTCCGTGCGCTTGAGAAGAAGGAACGGGAGGTATGGGAGGCGGAACGACAAAACACCAATACGATTTCGGGAGTGGATGCTGAAGGCGAACCGGGTTCAGACGTGGGAAAAGGAAATAAACAGCAGACGCCCGGGTCGAGAAGGAGTAGGAAGGCAAAGTAGGGGCACGGAAGAGCCGGTTTAGACGAGATATTTTGGGATCATTCAATGGCTAAGGAGTTCTTGGAGGTAACGGCGTCCAAGCATAGATATTATACCGGCCTGTCTTTTTCAGAGGAATTTGTACTGTGCTGTTATGTCAGTTACAATGCTTTTCCATATACCTAGACATATATACATCTCGCTTTTGCTTGACTATCTTTTTCCTCCCACCCATTGATGGAATTAAAACTTGTTGTATGATCTATATAGTACGTCGAAACTTGCCCGGAGAATTACCCAGTCCCCCTAACCGGGGTTATATGACAGCTACTGCTAAAAGACGTTTGGCATTCAAAATGTATGTACAAGACCACTAACATGGGTTTGGCTTGGGGTTGGCAATTATTCGCCCTTCTCTCATGTAAGATCTCCAACGTTATTATCGCGTCTATTATAGTCAACGAAAGAAGCAAATATAGCCATGACCCAAGTCTACGCATCGTTCACCTCACCTCCCACCCTTCTTCCCCTCTTACAACCATGAAACGAGAGAGGAGAAGGGGGCAAGGGCAAGGGAGAAGCAACAAGAAAGAGGACCATTATTTCCTGTTCCACGTCACACATCTTTAACCAGAAAGGAGAAGAGGAGAAAAGGAGGGAAAAAATCTAATTTATTTTCCCACCTTCAACTTATCCAGCAGATCCTGTGGTGGCTGCTGTCTATATCCCGCCGGGTTATTCTTGGTCCACCGCCACAGATCTTCACAGGCCTCTTCCAGCGTTCTGGTCGCCTTCCAGCCAAGCTCGCGGTTGGCGCGGCTTGGGTTGCTGGTGAGGTCAAGTACGTCACCAGCACGACGGCCAACGACTTCGTAGGGGAGATCGCGGCCCACAGCGGCGCTGAAGGCTTTAACCATGTGGAAAACGGTGCTGCCCTTGCCGGTGCCGAGGTTCCAGGCGCGCACGCCTGGGTGGTTGGCGCGAAGGTAGTTGAGGGCTTGGAGGTGGCCGGCGGCTAGGTCGAGGATGTGAATATAATCGCGGATTGCTGTGCCGTCGTGGGAGGCGTAATCTGTAGGTCATGCAGTAGATGGCGGGTTGTCAGCTACAGCTACACATATGGACTCGCTTATTCAAAGGAGGGGACTGGTGGGTTAATTTTCGGATATTTAGGGCACTGACCATCTCCATATACAAGGAGTTTCTCTCTCTTTCCTGTGGCTACCTGCGCTAAGAGGGGTAGCAAGTTATATGGTACACCCTGGGGGTCTTCTCCCATGATTCCACTTGGGTGCGCTCCTGCTGGGTTGAAGTATCTCAACAGGGCGCCGTTCCATTTCTCAGCCTCTTCTAGCTTTCCGGCCTTGGTGGCGTTATTTCGCTCTGAGTTGATGAAGTCCGTAATCGCGGTCTCAACGGCGAATTTGGTGTTTCCGTATGGGTTGGTTGGGCCAAGAGGGCATTCTTCAGGAATGGGTATCATGTTAGGAAATCGGGTTGCGTCACCATAGACGGTGGCAGAGCTGGAGAAGACAATGTTCGTGACATTGTGTCGCTTCATTGCACGTAGGAGGCATATCGATCCGTAAACGTTGACGTAGTAGTAGTCGAGTGGTTTTTCGCCAGATTCGCCAACGGCCTATTTCGGAGCGTAGAAGCGTAAGCAATCAATTCACCCAACTGTATGAGCTTCTCTATTTGCGAAGATACAACAAGCATAACTACTAACTACCTAGGCATTTCATATTCCCGTTTACATACCTTGAGTGCGGCAAAGTGGATGACGCTGTCAATGTCCGGGTGTTGCTCAAAGGCCTTGTCTAGATCAGCCTCATTGGTGATGTCGATCTTGACAAAATCTGGGCGCTTGCCACAGATCAACTCGATGCGATTGATGGCTTCATCAGAGGAATTGTACAGATTGTCTGCGATGACGACTTTGTATCCGGCCTCGAGTAGTGCCAAGGCGGTGAAGGAGCCAATGTAGCCGGTTCCACTACACACGGGGTGCAGGTCAGCAAAGGAAGTCAATTGGCAAGGGCAAGTCAATTGTGAAGGAAAAAAAGTTACCCAGTAACAAGAACACTGCCAACAGTCATGATTCGCGCTGGGATGAAGTTTGCTTGAGCTGTATTGGGGAAGCTATGAGAGTTGTGGAGGCGATTGCGGGGTATGCTACCGTCGATGGCGAGGTAAGGGGGCCAAGGAACAGAGAGAGCTGAAGGTCTGAGGACAAGATTCAGAGATGAAGCTACCAAGTGACGTGACCCTCACTATATATTTTGTGTGGTTGCGGAAGGGAAAATGGACGAAGAGCGCAGTTGGGGAGGGATGAGTGGGCATGGAGGGGGAGCTGGTCGATCATTTTCGATGTTGTCGTCATTTAAATACTTAACTAGTTAAATAAGCTTGACTCCCTCCCTACAAGTTTCCTAACACCGACATTCGTTGCCCGGGCCCAGTATCAACTATTCGCATTCCTGTTTCATATTATTGATCTATCTGGCTGCACCAAGTTCCCGCCTTCTGCAATCTGCATGCTTGGATTTCGCTGCATTCCAATCAAAATGTGCGACGCGTCTCCCTCAATCCCCATAGTAGTGGCCTCTGCAAAACCAGGTCCCCGCATCTCAACAATGTGTAGTGCCACTACTCCGTAGTGGGGTCTGGCTTTGTTTTGCATACGCAATCAAATTCTGGGTGACGGTGCTTCTTCGACACTTTCGATGCACGCACGATGTCCATTAACTATTTAAGAGACTACGTAGTTACGGATTATCAGGTGGTTTGGTTCGGAGGAAGAACTTACAAAATCCACCAAGTACAATGCTCATACATCTTTGAGAGCCTAGACCCTCTTGCCAACAAGAAGATGGCGTAATATTTCAATTATGGTTGATCAACAACTTCCCATCTGAACCCTCCAATCTTCGCGGACACGGGAAGTAGGCTCACCCTGTTGAGATACGTTCCCTTTACCAGCAGAGACCTCGTTGAATTCAATCCCTATCGCAAATCGCCCATCACAACCATGAATTCTTCCAGAGAACACCCATACGGTGCCTTCTACGAGTATGCAGTTCTCCCCACCCCCTTCACCAATCCGAAGAAGCCTCCTTGAAACAAAATAAAGTTATTTAAGGTTGGCGCTAGTGCCAAAATAGCGGACATCGCATATGCCAACAACGGACTTGGTTGAATGCCTATCGTAATAGCATCCTAAGGCGATATACATGCTATTATGAACAGTGAATGTGGTTTTTTTACTTGCTCTAAGGTTTGATTTAATCTATCTTCCAGGCTCCTGAGATCTTTTTGAATCATGAAAGAAGCAACAGATTCCGGAATCTACAAAGTTAAGAGATGGCTACGTTTACTTTGTCACTGTCTAAGGACTCTGTCACCTGTTTCCAAACTGCTTTTTTATTTCAAAGTCTATGCCTTGAAAACTGTCTTCTGTTCTTACAAGCTCATATGGAGTACTTATTCTGTAACTGGGGGAGGTCTCGCCTCAATACCAATGGCATTTGCTCCCATTTATTTATATACTTTTTTCGTTTATAGGAGGAGTATTCCCTCCCTCGTTGCGGTTTATAGACCCGCTATCAGAATATCTTCTACTATAGCTTGTTTCGGCATCACGCTCAATTGACAGTCTGCCGCTTATATCCACAGTGCAACTTAACCTCTATACGCCACTCGAGTTGGTGTGAAACAGGCTATCAAAGGACAATTTCTTTCCGTTTTCCCCTTTCGACCAGACGTAAAGGAGGACATTAAGTCATCAAGAAGTACACCGGCGAGAAGTCGATTAGTAGAAGAATATGGATACTATATCCAATATATCCAAATACGACTCCTTTGTGGGGTAGGTCATAACAGTGAATTTTGAATTTCGCTGGGTCATGAAGTTAGGTAAAGTAAAAAAGAAGTAGCGTTAAAAAGGTGAAATATACAACGAAATAAAGAGCTCGCGTAAGTTAATAAATACCAATAAAACGACTATAAAAAGTGAAAAGCGCAGTGCAAATAAGACGAGGATCCTTTTTGTTGAGAAACGGAGAAACTCAACGCAAGGTTATCGACAATGGCACAAAGGTCGTAATCAATACTGATGATAATAATAGAAGAGTCCATAAACGAAAAGTACGAAACCTGGCCAGACAAAAAGAAGAAAAAATACAATTGGACGCAGTTGGTATCTCGCCACATCAATACTATTAAACAGTATTTTAATTTCATATGATAAGATGCCATTTTGAACTTTACCTCACAAATTATATCTCTTCTTTCTTTTTTGGACGAATAATGGAAAGAAACTAGAAATTTTCGTAACAAGGTGAAACATCCCGTAGGTGTAGTGTAGTATCGACAGTAAATTGATCAATATCAGTCACATATTTAGGCGACTTCGCTTTGTGCTGTTTCAGCTGTTGTATAAAGTTATTGAGAACCGCTTTGCGGTTTACGAGGAATTAATGATAAACGACCAAAAGAGGAGTGCATCATCGTAAGCTGTATTGGCCGAAATGCCTCCAGTAGCTATCTTGTGGCTGATTATTGTTCTATCCCAAGAGCTCGACATCGAGCCCGATGGCTCGCATGAAGAGGTTGACATTGCCAAGGCGTTGGCTGGCCATATCCGCTGGAAGGGTTTTGCTCTGGGCAACGGTTTCCATAACTCGCTCCCTAGAAAAAGCAAACAAGTCAGCAAACGGTCCAAGGCAAAAAAAAAAAAAAAAAAAAAAAAAAAAAAAAAAAAAAAAAAAAAAAAAAAAAAAAAAAAAAAAAAAGAATTTGTCAAGGATGCACTTACTTGACAGCAATAACCAAGCGTTGCTGTTGTTCTGGGCTGGCACCGATACCTACGGCAGCTAAGAACTGCCATACGTACATATCATCACCACTGTTAATGGTTCCAGGGAAGATATCGCTAAAGACAGGCTCTAGCCGGTCAAAAAAAGTGTTATAAAGTTCCGTCCATGACTTCAACAGCTCGTCTTCCACGGTGCCTCCTTCTTTGACCAGTTCCGCGCGGCTAAGCAACATGGTCAGAACTCCAAGACCGACTCGAGTCTTCGCAACTGTTTGGACGTGAGTCTGACCAATGACAAGACCCAGTAGGCCGGTAATAATATTGATCGGCGCCTCGTTAACGTAGCCAAGTAGACTGGGCATGACAGCATGTGAAAACAGGTCAATTTCTTCTCGAACAGCCAAAGGTGGCTGAGATTCTCCGGGTTGAAGTTGTGCTCGCTGGACAACATCCAATGAATCGAGGTGAACAATGATCATGGTGAGGATGGTGACACGTTGTTCTTGGTCAATTTGGCGGAAGATGCGAGGAATGGCTTTCTTACCCTTGGGGTAAGACAGAAATGCAATGAAGGGATGCGGAGTAGGCGAGCCAGGAACGATCGGTTCTAATACTTTCATATCTGACCAGAGTTTTTGGTTGAGATGTTGCATCTTCTGTCTCCATTCCATATGCCTTTCGACTGATCCAGGATCATTTTCATCGGGAGGTGGCGGCATACTTCGTTCGTGGTCTTCCATTTGCATCAGAGTTCCATATACATTTTCAATATTTTTCAATATTGATTTCCTGTCACTGGGACTCATCGCAGTATGGTTGCCCTTTTTAAGATTGGAAGCTTTCTGGCCATCAGAGCTATCGGGGCGCTTGATATTTAGCAGCGGCTTAGGTGTTTTGGCGTTGCTAAACGATATTTTGCCTAGACTTCCTTCAATTATCAACTGCTTGTTTTTCGGTCTCAATTTAGCTGCTTCCACGGCCCGTTGAACCTGCTGTTGCATCCGCTGCATATGATTGTCTCCGGTGTAAAATTGTCGCCTTCCCATGCCCCCCGCAGATCGCCCTCCGGTTTGAAAAAGGTAGGTCTGCGCAAAATGACCTAGAGGCTGGCGGGGGTGTTGCCTAGGAGCTCCACGGATTTGGCTGTAAACTTGGTAGTAGAAGTCCTCGGACAGCGATGCCTCGCTCTCCGGATCCGTCACGTTACCTGTTGCAGCGACCAGCTGCTGTAACTGTATACGAGTAATGAAATTTTTATCCTGCGGAGTCATTAAACCGTTTCCTTTGGAAAGAAGTAATATCTTGTGATTCCGCTTTGCGCGTTTTGCATCCTCAATCAAATTGGCTTTTCTCTGCTCCTCAGTCAGAGGTGCTAAATTATGTGGCATGCCGGATGTGACAGGTAATTTACCAGGAGGGCCCATAGGCGCCTGTGATTTGGGGTGGTGGTGCTGGACTTGTCGCATTGGGCGCTGCGGTGCGGCACTTGGCGGTGGGCGATTTTGATGGTGCATGGGTGGGGGAGGCATTCCGGGACGAGGTAGCATGGCTTCCATAGGCGGGAAAGACTGTTGGCGTTGAAATGCCTGGCCTGCAAGAGCATCCTTTCCCAGCTGAGCATATTGCCGTTGTTGGTCAAGGGGTGGGAACTCCTGGAGCGACAATGGTTGCATACCGTCGGGCGGAGGGGCAGGTCTATCGTGGAGAGGCATAGTAAGGGGAACCGTCCCTTGCGGGATGGCCCCCGGAAATTGAGGAGCAGTTTGCGGAGGCGGTGGAGGAACGGAGGGTTGCTCAGTTCCCAGAGGTTTCTTGCTCTGTGCCCGCATTTGTGCTTCAACTTCTTCCAAACTCATTATCTTCTTCGCTGGCGCGGCAGGTTTGGAAGGAAGAGTGCTGTCCTCTGCCTTGGATTTTTGTCCCACACCTGTCCCCCAAACAGTTGACTTCGCCTGAATCTCAGGGATATAGCCCGGGTCTTGATAGAGCTCATATCCAGTCCGCTTAGGCTTTGCAGGAGTCGGAGCTGGAGATTTTGGCTTGGATTCCCGAGGAGGATGTTTCAGCTTATACAACATCTGCTCCTCATCGAGCACATTTGACATTTGGGCGGTTTTCCCGTAGAAATCGAAATCTTTCCCGACGGGCTGCTTCTCATCCTCCCCTCCACCAAAAGTGTCTTCGTTAAAGGCATCTTGGTCCTCGTCCAACTGGTCACCCAGTCCATCGTAGGTGTCTTCGAAATCGATTCTTCACACCAAAATTAGTAAAGTCATCACTACCTGCGCGCAGAAAAGGAGGTGGGGAGTTATACGCATCGTCGTCATCTTGCGCGGTGGCATGGGCAACTTGCGCGAAAGGGTCAGGGTTCTCGAAAATACCCCGCGTTTGCCGGCCAGAGGGGCGATCCCTCGGCAGAGTAGTATCAAAGCCAAAGAAAGACATACTACCTTGACGGCTGGCAATCAAAACTGAGTGATCCACAGTTGAGAGTGCCGTCTCGTTGTCGGGGCCTGTTTTGATTTCTGCAAGATCGTTTGTTCGGTTTGCGAATCAGACATCAACTTTCGTCAGCAAAAGCTTAGCTAACCACCTGGTGGTCCGTGCGCGATCCGCCTCAAGTCTTCACTGCGCCCAACCTACTGTACGGAGTTAACTTACATGTACTGTACATCTGTACTCCGTACACCCAGCTTGATTTAGTCTCTGCGCCCATGTCATAATAACGATACAAGAGGCTCTTTGGCGGATTAGCACCTCAACTATCTACTTGCTCCGGACCTGTGCGATAAAAGCCTAGTTTAATGGCCAAACAACTCACCTTTGCTGCTAACTCATAGCCAATCGACTGACTTGGGCGTAGGGCCATTGTTACGGAAACTGCCTCACGATATGATATCACCATTGATTCTGCACGTCACAGGTAGCTTCGCTTTAAGTACTTGAACGTTAACTATTAAAACCCATAGCTACGAAGTTAGGTCCCGCTATGGGCCCTAATCAATCTCAGCGGCACACCATGTATGTCCGCAACATTCCCTATTTGCCAATTAAGAAAGACAAAAAAGAGATATTCCCAGGCCATCAAAACACAGTCATCCTTATCCTCATTCTTATCATAATTATAAAGGCGAAACTTGAAGATACCCTACTACGTCTACATCACGTGGGCGACTGGAATGAGCCACGATTAACCTTTGGGACGGCGATGCCAAAACGCTATATCGACCTTCTAATGCACTAACTAATGATGGAGTTTGAAATACTGCTTCAAGCGCCGGAGTACGGACAATAGAGTGAAATTCTACCAGCTTCCAGCCTTGGAACGCTTGGAAATCAACGACCTGACAGTCCGCTGTCACAGCCATGCCAAAGAGCGAGGGCTTCGACGACTAGATATTTGCTTGACTAGCATTCATGCACAATTCAATATGCTATATTAGCTGTTTCTCGAAAGTTCTGCTTTTTATCTTGTCGAAAATTAACGGTTAGTTGATTTTTGGACTGCAAAACAGTCACCAACTGGATTACCCCATCGTACTAAACGCTATGAACCTTGTTTTTTTTTAATATCGTATTTATTTACCAACCCCTCGAAACATCCGCTGCTGTTGAGAAACTGAAGAGATATTTCCTCGGGTTGAAGAGAGCCGGCTATACCAACAACGTTTTGGAATGTATCTTCAACAACGTCGATGCGGTTTCCGGTTGTCATTGAACTGTTATTGCCTAATCCAAACGGATAGAATTGCCCGGCCCGCAAAGAAGAACAACGACGATTGCACTGCAGAGTATCGCGGAAGTCAAATAAGGCTAGCATCCCAAACTTGGGTATCACACGTGCCTCAGGTCGGGTTCTGCTGTTAGCTGTAAAGCACCCTCACGCACCGGATCCTCCCAAAAAGGGTTCCCGGGCTGGTAAAGAGACGAAAGACTTTTAGCGACAAATCCCCAAATATATTCAGCGCACTCTTCTTTGGATTCCAGAGGTTTAGGAGGTGCCACGAGGAGGTTTGCTATCTAAATTCCTAAAAAGAAATTGGCTGATATCATTATTTACAAGACCTTTAAAGAACCTTCCTCTTCCTTCTTCTAAAGCTCTTGAAAGGGAAGACATTGCTAGCAATGTAGAAAATAATCGCTATCCGCTAGGTGGTTCAGGATATTCTTATTGTTCAGGCAGATTCGCTAGGTCGCGGAGCATATGTAACTGCGGGACACTTGAAAAGAATGGCATTGCATATGACAGCGGATGAGGGTCACTTCGCGTGTGCGAGTCATCTTATACGCCACGGCGCTGATCCCGAAGCAATGGGTGAGGACAGAGATACTCCGTTGATGTTAGCGGAGGAAGGTTACTGCTCTCTGTCAAATTCCCTTCCCTTCTCCGCTAACTTCAATGGGATATCTCTATCCTCATCCACAGGATCAGGTTTCTTTAGTTTAATCCTAGCCCTCCACGGGATGCCATGGAAAAAACGTCCGTTTATAGCCTGGTGTCTGTATTACCATGTCGTGGAGGTAGCTTGCCCAGAAATGCATAGTCCCATTGACTGAGTGGGAATCCATAAACATGTTATCCAAGCAACCTCACGCAACATATGCTCAGAGTCCCACCGGATCCCCAGTTCTTTTCACCAGAATTCTGATGTAAATAACTTGAACTGCTTAGGTAGAGAAATCGAAAGCAGAAAATGAGTAGAAAAAACCAATACCATCATCAGGACAACGGTCATGAATCATAGTGACCGCTATGGTGCCAGACACAAATCCCCATTCCTTCCGTTGGGAGCATGTCGTTACATTAAGGTTCTTGCGGATCGTCTGGTTGAGTGAAAATCAAAGATCCGCCGACCAAACGCGCGTTTCGGTCCGGCCCTTTGCCGCGCGGTCATACTTCTGCCAGTCATCACTTATACCGTGGGCAGAATTCTAAGTTATTAGACATTTAACTGAGTCTTATTTACAACACCAATTTTACCACACTATTGCATTTTCGTTACAAGGAACCCTTTTGAATAAGTAAGATTAGCAGAGTAAATGTCACCATACCTATGTAATGTGCTAGAAGATAACTAAAACTAGATAATAGAGCAAAAATGAAGCGTACTCTAGTGGTTGCTTTACAAAAACTCACACTGGTAAAAATAACTGCGATCATGGAAAATCTATTTAACCATTGTTTCAACCGCATTGATACTCTGGTGTCTGAGTCCGGGCCGGTGGCTACTTAGATATCCCCGACTCCAGCCGATACAACCCTCAACCCGTTGCTCTGTAAAAAGCTTCGTTATCCCCAAATCTGGTAGGTTTGCCGTAGAGCACACGGCCAGACATTTTTCTTGACACCTTTGTCAAATGCGAATGCATCGTGCGGGTCAAGTAAGTTGTAATATTGATCAGTTTGCACTTGCGTCAGCCAATGGTCCGGTTGGAGGCCAGCGGCCTGTCTCTTCAAAGACAATTGCTGAGGCGCTTCATGCAGCTCTAGTGCCTTTGAGCTGGCGGGTGCAAATCAACTGTGGATATTCACTAGAACCAGCATCGTTGATAACCTGTACATGTAGATACCCATCGTACCCTTGATAAGCCTCCGGTATGGTGAGACTGCGGAGCTTGTATCTACTGCGTAAAGCCAGTCCGAAAAGATATTGCAACCTGCGTGCTGCTTGTTATTATTATTATATGCAAGGTCGTAGTTGCTGGAACGAGCGCCAAGACGACTCCAGCAAACAAAAATTCATCAGATTGATGAGATTGGAGAGAGGAATCCTGAGGAGGTTCAGCCTGGACCACATTAAAGACAACGATTGTTTACATGTACCAATTATGCTAAAGACTACTCCGTACTCCGTAGTAAACTGCGTGTTTTGGACTTGGCGCCAGTAGCCCATTCGTATCCTGTACGAATGGGTTTCTGCATAAGGCTGCTGTGTCTGAGACATGGTCCAGCAGCTGACGAGTTACGCATGCAGAGGGAATGCCATCCAGAGCACACGGTGAAACAAGGGAGTTGGACGAACTGCTCTGGAAATACCATAAAGATACAGAGTACAGAGTACATCAGGGGCAATAGTTGTATCTCGGGTAGGTAAACTTACTGGCCGTGGCAAATCCCTGCATTGCACGGATTATGTACAGAGTATGTTCAGCAAAGGTGGATTTTTGTTTGGATCCGAGAAGCGGAACTATTTAAGGAATAATATCAGGCGGAATAAAAGTGTTTAACCCGCAATGCCGATTGAGAAGCATTCCAAGGTTCTATGAATGATTTTGCGGCCGGTTTGTGGAGGCAAAAGTAAGATGTAATAAAAAATAAAACACTCTGTACCGTAGTTAACTAAGTTACCAGCCACGAAATTAAATTACAGGCTTATGACTCTCGCCGCTGCCACCGGCTGGTCGTAGGCCTGTTATCAATTTGTTCAACCTCCAGAACTCCCAGCAACAACAAAACACAAGACCAAGAACCTCCCAGCTGTAGAACGATCTTTGACGTTCTTGACATCTCTATCTCCTCCACGAACTCCCCAGCGAGCCAACAAACTGTTCACTAGATTCTCTACCAAAGGCCCCCAACGCCTCCCGTCGTCCCTGACCGGTTCAGCCAGATGTGATGCGCTTCCAGGATTCTGTCCTCTTCTATCCCTGACCACCAAAATCCACCCTCGTTTTGCTTCATGACTTTCTGCTTTGATCCTTTACGCAAAGGAAATTATCTATAACTGCTAGAATTTGACGTGAAGTGGATGGACCTTTTGACTTAACCTAGCCTGTTGCCAACGCTCCAGTGTTTCAGGTCTCCCTAAACCATTTAATTTGAACCCAGTTTATTATCCTTTCCTGTTTGCCATCTAAAAGAAAAAATCCTCGGAAACAAACCCTCGTTGTGTGTGAACTAGAACGTGGTTATTAGACCTGCATAGTGATGAATTGGGTTTCGGGGAAGTACCTACGGTACATTCTATTTGCAGTGTTGGTGAGTTTCTCTCTGCTGTCCATTTGAATCCTGTCCCAGCCATTCCGGGAAACTGACACTGACATTGTTTTTTTATCTTCGGTTCGAAAGGGTCTTGTGCTTCTACATTTCATATCTTACTCCTCATTACCTATCCCGAGCACCAGCGATGTCGTAAAAACCTCAAGTCTGGATCAGGACAACCCAACCCTAACCCCTCACCTCAATCGCCAGGCCCTGGAAAAAAGCCAAACCAAGCTGGGACCCCAGCCCTAAAAACCCCTTCGCTGGCTCCCGCGCCTGCCTATGAACGGGTAAATGCAACATTCGTGACATTGGCCAGAAATGGGGATGTTTGGGATATCGCCAAGTCGATCCGCCAAGTGGAAGATCGATTCAACCGAAATTATCACTATGACTGGGTCTTTCTTAACGACGTCCCGTTCAATGACGAATTCAAGAAGGTAACATCTGCTCTCGTATCCGGGAAAACACATTATGGACTCATTCCGACGGAGCACTGGTCGTTCCCTGACTTTATCGACCAGCAAAAAGCTGCCAAAGTTCGGGAGGAAATGAAGGAGAAACAAGTCATCTATGGAGATTCAATCAGCTACAGACATATGTGTCGTTATGAATCTGGATTCTTCTTCCGCCACGAACTGCTCAATCAGTTCGACTACTATTGGCGCGTGGAGCCCAGTGTCGAATATTTCTGCGACATCAGCTACGACCCGTTCAAGTTCATGAAAGACAATAAGAAGAAATATAGCTTCGTTATCAGTCTGTACGAATACAAAGAAACTGTCCTCACGCTCTGGGATAGCGTTAAGAAGTTCATGAAGAAGTACCCTCAACACATTGCGGAGAACAACAACCTGGAATTCGTTAGCCAGGATGGAGGGGAAACATACAACCTTTGCCATTTCGTACGTAATTTTTCACCCTAAATCACTGAACACTTGATGGTTTGTTAACTCGATACTGATGAATTTGACATTTGTCACTGCAGTGGTCGAATTTCGAAATTGGAGATCTAAACTGGCTGCGATCCCAAGCATACCTCGATTATTTCGACATTCTGGACAAGGATGGCGGGTTCTTCTACGAAAGATGGGGTGATGCGCCTGTACATTCCATCGCCGCTGCTCTTATGCTCAAAAAGGAGGAAGTCCACTTTTTCAATGAGATCGCTTACTACCATGTCCCATTCTACCACTGCCCGACTGGCGAACAGACGAGATTAGATCTGAAGTGCCACTGCAACCCCAAGAACAACTTTGACTGGAAGGGATATTCTTGTAAGTGCAAAAATCCCAAGGCAAGGCCACATGCGATCGCCATAATTCACATGGCCAATTCGTTGCGAATGTTATCTTCATTTTCAATTACACATCCTTGAAAATTTTGTGATATATATTTATTGCCATCTGGCTAACCATCTGACCGCAACCTTTCTCTCAGGCACTTCCCGCTACTTCGATGTTAACAAAAAGCCGAAACCTGAAGGTTATGAAAAGGAGCAAGATTGACTAACCGTGCTTATCACAATCCTTTGCTGTATTCTCGTTGTTACCGTTGTATCAATAGTAGCATTCAAAACTCGCCGATCACGACGCAGTCTCAGCATATCGAGCACCGACAGTGAACCGTATACCAGCATGCCGAAAAAGTGGTAAAAATGAAGGAAGGGAGTGGAGGGGGCGAAGAACGAGAAAAGGACAACACAGGAAATCTACTCGATGGCATCTACTAGAGCTTTCTTGTTCACATCTTTTGCCCTCGGTTTGGGAAAAGAAATGACTCCTCAGGGCCATACCTTTTCCTTTACCCGAAGCTCCATATACTCCCTCCATCCTACTCTTCCATTTCCAATTTTTCCCATACCTTATATTTGGATTTTTAACTCTGACTATTTCTTTCACATATTTAATATCTTGTCTGCCTTTATATTTTCACCATATGTTCACGTACATCGATTATACTGTACAGGGTTGTATGGTATTATGGGCATGGGACTTGTCGTTTTCCGCCTTTTCTATTATGCATTTTCTATTTCCTATTCCATTTCCTCTTTATCTCTTTCCATTTCCTCTTTATCTTTTTCAAATTTTTTTTCTTTTTTCCTTGCCAAAAATTTTACGGAGTTTATGGGGAAATGTGCCGCATCTTATTATATGATTTTCATCGTCTGGACTTTTTTTTCACTGCTTCTTCTTCCCTAACTTGTGGCCTGCGAGCGCCATAAGAAGCACTGCATTATTAGCACAATATATGTCCATATTTCTACTTCACGGTACTTTCAGTCAGTCCCATATTTGCGTGGATTTGGCCAGAGACCGGAAGAGGAATAGAGAAGAAGGCCATGACAAGTGATGATATTTTGTATTTATTAGTGGGACGGCTGCTTTGCTTTTTGCCATGACGATTTGTGTCTTTTCATATCTTGGGGGGGTAGGTGTCTGGTGTGATTAGGAATAGCAAATTAAGGAAAGGGGAGATCGTTATTTGAAACCATTTTATAATGCAATTTTTCTGCTTTCCCTTTCGCGTATTACCCGAATTTCAGGGATGGGTAACTAGCAACCAGAGTAAATGGCGAAAGGCCAAAAATTGTGACCGAAACAACTATACATGCACTTTTCATCGATCTCAGAAGTGGTGCAAAGAAAATAAAATAGAATAATGTACAGTGTATCGAGTTTAGGTTAACGAATCCAAATTTATGGCAGAATACATGATGAGATGATCGCACATGACAAAGAATAGCAACGAAATCCAGCCGGAATAAGATCAAAACAAAAGTTTCCGCTCCTCCCTTCCTCCCTTCCAACTTCTAGTGTCACGTCCTCTCACCTATCTACCCTAGCAGCATTACGCACTCTTCGGCTTCTTCGTCCCGTACTTTGAGCGGCTGGTGATTCGGTTACCAACGCCAGTCTATTTAGTTAAAAAGGAGATTTGTCAGTCGTCTACTTCCAAGAAGACAGGAATCAAAGCACATATATTTATATGTATATCGAGACAAAATAATGGGTTGAATGATAAAAAGATGAACGTACCAAATCCAACGCTCCACGGACAAGATGGTATCGCACGCCAGGACAATCCTGTGCCCGGCCGCCTCTAATCAACACAACGCTGTGCTGTTGGATATTGTGCCCTGTATCAAAAAAGAGAAATAATTAGTATTCCCATGCCGCCACAAATTTGAAAAGGAAGTTGTATAGCAAAATTAGGGTCCCTTTCATCGCTCCGAAGAGGAATAAGTCAATAAAATAAAATAAAATATCACTGACCTTCACCGGGAATATACCCCGTAACAACCGCGCCATTCGTCAACCGGATTCTCGCCGTCTTGCGCTCTCCGGAATTGGGTTTCTTCGGCTTCGTGATTCCTGTCTTCAGACACACGCCTTTCATCTGTGGCCGGCCCACCAGTGCGGGAGAGGTGGTCTTCCGCACGCGCTTGCCCTTCCGACAACCCCTGCGGACCTGGTTCAATGTGGCATTGTGGCGGGGCGTGCTAGAGAATTTGCGCGCTTGTGATGAGAGGGTGGATGGGCCGCTTATGTTTTGGTGGGAGATAGGTTTGCGGAGGGTGACTGCGGCCAGGGTAGGTGTGGTTTGCGGTGTTCGGCAGAGCAATGAAAAGGTGCGCTTGGCGGAGGTGGATAGTGGCGAGGAAAAGTGGGATGGGAGGGTTACGAAGTGCCGTAAGAGACGGATTGCCCCTACGGAGGGTGTTGATGGCGGCATGATAAGCCGGTGTGGTGGTGAATTGGCGGTACAGAGCGGTTTTGAATGCCCCGGGATGAAGCGTTTTGAGAAGTTGTCCGAAAGGGGAAATTTTGTGGTTGAGATTGAGTTACGCTCACGTGATGTGGAACTGCGCACCTGGTCTATGCAGGCGGCAGGACGAGCTTGACGCGGTTGCTTTTGCCTGGACTGTTCATCCGTCTATATCTAATACCTCTGCTCAACTTCATCCAATTCCAACCTTACTAACTTCCTCCCTCTTTAACTTCACACACGTAGTCCCACTTATTTGTATCCCACCTTTATTCCAAGATCGAAGTCCTCTGTTCCACTCTCCCCATCATGGTATTACCTTCCCTCCCCAACATTTCTCCTCCTACTCCCATATGCTAATCTCCAAACAGGCTCTCCGCATTGCACCCCCGGCCTCCAACGCAACAGAAACCTCCAATACCGCCACAGTCCCACATTTAAGCAAAGGCGCCCCCTCCGCCCCAGGCGTCCACGACACTCTCCGCGCCTCTCTCTCCGCAGCACCAACGACAGCGCAACAACAAACTGCTACATCCACACACCCGCTAGAAGCTCGTCTACTACAGTGGCGCCAAACACATAATGCGATGAAAATGAAATCGTTAAGGAGAGTGTACGGCATGGCGGAGCCGATCAGGAGGGGGATGGAATTGAAGATCGTGCAGGAGGGACAGTGGAAGCCAGCTGCCCTGGGTGGGCGTAACGAGAGTAGCGTTCATGCGGACATTTTGGCGCTGGGGGGTAGGGAGACGGAGGTTACGTGGGAGGATGTGTTTGATGGTATGTTTCTTCTTTGCTTTTTGGTTTTGGGTGTTGTGCCATCGTAGGGTCAAAATAATGGGCCTAGGAGGTACATTTCATCGCCGGTCATGGATTCTTCGCCTCCTCTGCGGCTATGAATGTTGTGCTATATTTCTTCTTTCCATCCTATCAAAGAGAAAGTATCTAACCGCTCTCCTTCTTTACTAGGTGATGATCTGCGAGAACCTGCCTCCTTCCATGACGAAATGGAGTACCGACTGAAGATGAACTGGTAAAAATCCCTGGTTCAATCAGTGAACGCTATCCGGTCCAGCTCTGCTTTCTATTGTTTTCCTATTTTTCTTGCCGCCCAACAGGCATTTATGTTACGTTATATTCGCAGCTTTTTTAAAAACATTTAACCACCTCCAATAGAGAGTTGCTCTCCGACTTCCCCTTTTCTCTTTCTCTTTTTTCCCCTTCTTTTGATGTAACGCCCTGTCTCGATCTAGAATAGCGAAATGGTTTTCGACTTTCGTGCCGTCTTCCACGAATAAAATCCGAATTAATAACTTATTTTGGGTGCTCGGGTAAATCAATAGATACCTCGCGGAGCTAGGCACTCCTCTCCTGATACATCCCATCTGTGTTCTTAATAGCCAACTCTGCTCCAATATTGGTGCTTTCCAGCCCATGGTATTGATTGGTCTCATCGACCATTAGAGCAAAACTATACGACACCGTGATATCTTCTTCCCACGGGCCATACCTATTACTCAAAAACTCCATCCTTTTACGCCCTCCCCCATAAACTTAGTGGCAGCATCCGAGGGTAACATCAGAGTAGACTTTCTGTGGGTTCCAAGGATGGGACAGTATAGACAATCTATTTTTATTTTTATTTTTATTTTTAATTTAATTTTTGACATTTCTGATAAAGCTCGATATTGCTTCATATCTGTATCTATATCTAAAATATCTAAACATGCGGAGGCGTGAGATCGATAACTTCTGTACTCAGTATTCCGTACATAGGATCTATGAGAAGGCTCGTGCGGCCAGTTTTTGCATCTTGTTCCCGTCTGATTCCTCTCTATAGTCCGAGTATCATATGGAGGAGACCTACCTGGTGATTTCTCCTATCCTTGCAACTCTTTGTGTTTTTCATACATAATAGGGTTTGAATTTCACTTCACCACCAACCACATCACCACGACGGCAAACCTGTCGATCACATCATGGGATTGGCAACGGGTTTTCATTTCTGTCTGTATATTTTGTACCCAATACCCCATGGAATGGTGGAAGCTAACTCTACTTACTTCATTGACCGTCTGCGCGGAAGGAAGGGGGAGGGCGGCGAGCTTGCTTGTTGCAAGGTTTGCCGTTCGATCCGTTACTAGTATGATAAATAACAAAAGCCCAACAACCCCCAGCCTCAGCTCAGCTCAGCCCCAACCCTCCCCATCCCGCGGGTTCTCCCCTCTGTCCCTTTCGAACGGCCTTGGATAAGTATACAAGTGACCGGCCACGAGGCCATCACGGCGACGTATACGTATAAAAGTTATGCAGAAGACCTACACGCAACGTATATGTATACCCACAACTTGAATAGCGAAAAGTATCCATTTATATACCTGGGGGGTGGGGATTCATACGCGCGCTATGTACATGTATAGATAATTGGAACAATGCCACATCCTAATCTCATGCGCCATGCGTGTAAGAGCAGTTGCGAAAAAGAGACTAGTTTCCCTTTTAGAGGGTAAAGAAGCAGAAAGCGGCGGAAGGGCACAAGAGAATTCCCCAAGGATGGAAAAGAAAGAAAACTTAGCCAACCCTCTCAATATATATATATATACATATATATATCACTAGGCCGCAGTCGTAGTATTAATAATGAGAGTAATAGTAATCGCGAGGCTAATGACAATGACAATGATGACGGCAAAGCGCAAGCAAAACAAAAAATACTACTACAAAGACGTGTATAAAAGGAGACACTGCAAAAAGGAGAAATAAAAAGGGGGAAAAATACAAAATGGTACACAAAATAAATCGTGAAGGGAATGGGAAACAAAATGCTCCGTTTACTCAAACTCTTACCGTAACGATCTTTATAAAAGTCGGTAGCAAACGAGGAAGACAAATGGGGGGAACAAAATGGAGCTAAAGGAAAGGAAAAACAAGATAAAAACCAACCCCTACACCTGCCGTGCATGCTTTGGAGAAAAAAGAAAAAGAAAAAGAAAACGACAAAGAAAGGAAGCGGAAAGGAAGCAGTGTATTCATAACCAAGAAGTAAGCAAAAAGGGCTGTTGACAAAGTGGGTAATTTCTAATAAAGAAAAGAAAAGAAAAGAGAAAAAAAGGAAAAGAAAAAAGAAAAAAGAAAAAGAAAAAGAAATATGGGAATTAGAATGAGAAAAAGAGACATGTCAAATGTCGAAGGAAAATAATCGAGAAAGAAAGCGCTTAGGTGCAACTCATGAGGAGAGAGGATGGGGGGTGGATTTGGAGCAGAAATCCAACTGCAAGATGGCTTTAAGGTGTGTTGAATGAAATTGCAGTTGAGGTATATTTACTGCAATGGAGAACACCCTTACCAACAATAATCAAGCGGGGGGGATACTGTCGAGTGACAGGATAAAGGAAGAAGCCTAGTCGACCATATGAACTGGATGAGGGCATGCAGCACAGTGATAACGAGAAATAGGCGGATAGGCTCCCTCCCACACAGGTGGTTTAGTGCATGGGTGCACTAAATATCGGAAAGATAGGTGGGTGGAATGTAATATGAATACTGCAGAGAAGAGGAGGCAAGGCCTATTCAAGCGGTGTCGGGTTTTCATTTTTTGCTTCCGTCTCTGAAGCATAAAAACACCCCCCCTTGCCGTGCGAGGTAGAAGAGCATAGCCACGCATAGCCTACAAGATTACACATCGGCATCGGGGGCTACGGTCACCGCCATCCCGTTCCCGTGCGGACGTAGACCGGGCAGCCTTGGTATCTTCGTCGTCGACAACTTCTTGCGGTTTTATGGTCATGTGGATGACGTTGGGAGCGTTTTGGTTTAATCTCAAATCTGTGGCATAATGAGCGAAAATGGAACGCTTTTGCTTTAGGGGGGTGAATTTTTGGGTGGGGCGGTAGCATCCAATAGAGCGCAAGTCAAGGCTGGGGCTTTGTATGAAATATGAGGAAGTAGTAACATACCGGACAGCTGAGCGTTGTCCGCTAATAGTTTTCCAAATGAGATTAGACGTATAGAACTTGGGGAAGAAGGTCGAGGCTCCCACTCTACAATTAACAAATATCGTTTGTTAGTTCTTATTCCCAGAACAAATGTGATACGCACCAAAAAAAAAAAAAAAAAAAGGTTGGGTAGAATAGAAGGCTGTCGCGTGCTCCTATTGGACAAGGTCTGATATAAAAAGAAAAAGAGATGAAAGAGCGAGGCATACCTGATCTCCACTCCCTCCATATCAGCTCCTTCAGAGTATATACGCTCATCGCATATGGGTTGAAATCCGGCACATCTACCTGTCGTTTTCGCAAGTACTTCCCGTCAATCCTGAATGGATGTCTCGCTCCAGTTATCAGAAGAAGGTCGATGTTCAACACCATCCCGGAATCCTCCATTTCTTTACTCGTTGGGCTTGGGAGTTCTGACGACGGGCCAATGGCAGGGTCACATTGTTTGGTTTCCTCAGTTTCGCTGGTAGAGTGAGCGGCGGACTGTGTTTGTTGTTGCGAAGGTTCTATGTTGGAGGCAGCGGTCGGAGCGGGTTCAGGTGCAGCGGCATCCTGGGGCTGAGATGCCAATGAAGGGGGTGTATTTTCTCCTATCGTCGTGTTCGTGTCTGGGGGATCTGAAGGCTCTGCAGGCTCTGCAAGCTCTGTTGACTCTGCAGGCTCTATCGTGGCAGCGGAAGGAGGCGTAGTTGTGGTGATGGGGTCTGGTGAAGTCACCACTGTCGAGTCAGGGGGATCCTGTCGTGTGGATGGTGCGTCTGATTCCGGCAGAACAAGCGGCGTCTCTGTTTTCTCTGCAAGTTCTGGCTGGGATTGATAATTCAGATCGGGGACGGGAGTGACGGTACTTGACGCCATGATCGAGGGAGGGCACTAGACTCCGCAAGATTGGTTGAACGACCAATGGAATCACGCTTGATGTAATGCGTGGATTCCAGATGGAAATGTATACGATCCAGAGAAGGGAATTTGAAGGCTGATGTAACGATTGACAGGGCCGGGAAACGACGGCGAAAGAGAGAAGTTGGACAGAGATATATTATTCCCTCAGAGCAAGCAGCCGGCGAATGGAGGAGAGAACATGACAGACGAGCGATGGAGTAAGTAGTTGGACGGCGAGATGTGAAGGACAAGGTGGAAAATAAGAGTAGGGAGAGCAGAGGAGAGTACAAGGATGCGGAGCTGGTTCTGGCTCAAGACAGTCAACTCGGTTGGCTCAGTCGACTGGGCTGGGGGGTTGGAGGTTGCGGGTTTGCTGGATGTTGGTTGGCGGTGGAAGAGGTGGAAGAGGTGGCAGCGGGCGAAACAGAAGATGGGATGGGATGGGAATGGGATGGGATGGGGGGAAGGAGGAGACGTCGTCGCACATGTGCAGTGGCTGGGCAGAGACGGGTATTAGTTAGTTCACCTTAAGTTCAACCTAGTGGGCAATAATAGTTGGTTGGCACCACTTGGCAGTGGCAGCGAGTGGGCCCAGGTGGGCGGGCACCCAAACTCTCGGCGCTGGGCAGGGGCAAAGTCGAGGCAGAGGCGACTTAGGCGAGGGGGCAGACGGTCTAGAAGGAACCCTATTTGTTTGGCAATAATAGGCATGCCCTAACCTAACCCCTCCCCAGTTGCCCCCCCCCCACAAGCTACCCTCCCCCCCGATATCTGCTATTCTCTAGTTAAACCCCTCGTTTAAACTAGGGCCCATGAACTCGTGCTACTATTTTAGTTTAATCCTTTTACCTAAACCCGGGCAGCGACAGGATAGCCATCCGTCCGACCTCGAACATGCAAATAATAATTATGATCCTCCGCCTCATCTCTTTTACGTTTTCACAAAAAGGCAAAAAATTAAAATTAAAATTAAGATAAAATAAAATAAAAATAAAAATAGAAAAAAAGGAAAAAGAAAAGAAAACTCCCGTCGATCCCCCCATCGATCCCTGCCGTTAACTTTTAAGGGGACCATCTCAAGTCAGATGATCTTGCCCCCTCATAGCCGCATGCCAAGCCAGTTCAATTAGACAAACAACGCAACGCATTCCTTGGTAGATTCTGTTACACCCGACTTACATTATAGGAATTTGGTTTTAAGGTTGTCTCCTCCGTCCTCGATTGTTTCGTGCTCCCTAGCCAAAAGAAAGAAAGAAAGAAAACAAAACAAAAAGTGATCTCATAGCTTCGTAAGAAGAGGAGCGACTCCAATCGGGAATGAGGGGTCTGGAAAAACCCAGATGCCGGACTTATCAGATCATCGTCGGCGTTGGTGTCGGCGCCATTAGAGTGATCAACTTGACTGACGACCCACTAGTTATAGCTGCCGAAGATTACGCGCAATAAGTCTGATGGTGATTATTATTAGTGAAGGAACCGGAATTTATTGGAAAAAAAAAAAAAAAAAAAAAAAAAAAGACGATGAGAAATTAGAGAAACTAACAAAATTGTTAAACAGGATCTTCATGCAGTGCCATGCTGGATATATTTGGAAAGCAAACGAACAACATATGATCGTTATGGCAAACGGGAGAGAGGACATCCAAACCAGAACCCCAGGCTTGCAAAAGTCAGAGTGAATAAAACCTTGCGGCAGTGGGCAAAAAAACCAATATCGAAATTCGCATGGAAGGGGATTAGATAATTTGAATAGAAACCGAACCAACCAGAATATATCACTAAACTAATTCCGAAGGAAAAGAAGATAGCAACACACTCAGATATCAAAGCGAGCAATGCGGAAGATTGTAAAGTAGAAAAAACTACTTTAATCATGACATCCACCCAGAATACTGCGCCGGTATCTCATTCCTCAGCCCTTCAGACCCATGCGCCACACCTAACAACCTCACCCTCTCAATCTTGCCCCCAAAATCATCCTCAACAGAACTCTTCCACGTCCGCAGGAACCCGCGCAGCCTGTCCACAACCGCCGCATCGTCCCGTACCAGTAATGCTATGGCATCATACCCGCCAGCGCCGGGCACCACGCCGCCAATCACCCCCTCCACCTCCGCTGATAACCTATCCAGCAGCTCCGTCTGCACCCTGGGTTCGATGGGGACGGCGCTTTTCTGCGTCATGGTGCGTAGCAGCGCGCGAGAGCGCGAGATGAGCCTGCTGACGGCGTCGAAGTTGTTGCCGTCGTTGTCGTCGTCGTCGTCGTCGTCGTCATCGTTAATGCTACTGATATTGGTACTATTTCCTGCGGATGCTGATGATGGTGATGAGGAGACAGCGGTCGTGGTACGGCTGGTACTGTTAGTGTGGTAGAGTAGGTCTTTCAACAACAAACGCAGTTTCTCATTGTTTTGCTGCAACTCCGCCCAGAGCGCGTTTGCCTCTTCCCTGTTCTCCTCGCGCCATTGAAGCACCTTCTTCACCATCCCTGGAGTTTGCGATCCGCAGTCCACATCGCATAGCACCATCTGCATGCCCCGCGGTAGCTTGGTGCCAAAATCAACACACTCTGTGTCCCATGGGTGCTCTGTGTTGAGATCCTCGACAACAGCGAACAGCCGCTCTTCAAACTGCGGGGACCCGACGTCTCCTAAACTTCCAAGTACGGCAGGGGAGAAGCGCCGATAGAGACAAGAGCCGTACACTGCGGCGCCAACGTCGAAGCCCGAACCGACTTTCCCTTGTGCCGCGCAGTGGGCGGCCTGGGCGAGGTTATGTAGCTTATCTCGCACTGTAGGTAGTTCCTCTGGTTGGACAGTGCGGTGGATGACCATTGCGGAGACAAGGGCTGTGACGAGGGCCGCGGATGATCCCAGACCGGTCTTGTGTGCCTCGTGCAACTTTACGCCAAAGTTCACGAAGCGCGTTCCCCTGTTCGCGCCTGCTGCCTGTGATATTGAGGTTTGGGAGTAGTAGTCATTATCTGCGAGGATGGTGATGGAGAGGGAGCCGAAGAGTTTGGAGGCGGCGACATAGCTTATGTATGTTAAGGCGTAGTTTAGAGATGTTTCGACGAATGGATTCCGCGGGCTACAGAGTATTTAGTTAGTGTCTTATGCTGTTTATGGCCGCTGATTATAAAGTTGGGTAGTCATGGTGGGGGGGTCTCGGACTGCTTCAAAAAACGGTCCCAGACATCCTTTCCCCCGTATACCCCTATCAAGCAGATAAAATGCATTTAATCAACCGAAAATAGTAAACAAGGAAATCCCAACAAACGTCAAAACCCCAATTGAAAGAAAGAAAGTGGAAGAGAAGAGAAGAAAAAGAAAAAGGACACAACTCACCAGTCCCCCTTTTGCACAACCCTCACCCCACCCCCATCAGGCTCCCTCCTAACCCCATACTCCCACACCGCATCCACAAACTGCGGCGACTTAACCACAATAACCTCCTCCTCCTCCCCCCTACCTCCATCCGCATCCCCATCTCCCTCCCCAGGCCCCTTCCCTACCCCGCCGTCCTCCACCTTGTCTTCGCCCTTACCATCCCCACCTCTCCCCTCCTCCCCAGCACCATCTTCCACCCTCCCTCCTCCTCCTCCCCCTCTTCCTTCTTCTTCTTCATCACCCCGCCTCGCCGCCCTCGTTACCCTCTCTTCTCTCCTCCTCTTCTCCCTCCGCAGCTGCCGCACAACAACATGAATGCGCGCATTAAGCGCAAACACAGTCCCCGTATACGCCCTATCGAGCACGAGATAGCCACCCGTCAACAGGACCTTTCCCGGCGCGGAGACTGCCGTTCATAGATGGGTTGATGGGGAATGACTTTATTTTCTTTTTTTCTTTCCCATCCTGTTTTTTCGGTTTTTTTAAACGCCTTTTCTTTTTTTTAATTTTGGACATCTTTTCTCCTGCCAAC